GAAACAATTTCATATACGTTTTCTAGATGTACCCAATAAATAATTTTAAAAACAATCCGTTTTTCAATAAATCTCGTTTTGTGTTTTTGTGTGTGTGTGTGTGTGTTTTTTTTTTGGCCTGTTTTTTATTTTCTACAGTTATTTTGAAATGCACTTTTTTACTTTATTGTAGTTCTATTAATATAATTTATTTCATTTGTTTATGTGCTTAACTTTTTTTTTGTTTTTTTTATTTGCATATATTGAAAAGATTTGACTATAGTATAATCCTTTTTTGATGTCTTTTTTAAAAAAAAAAAAAAATGTTTTTTCACCCATATGTTACGATTGAAATACAGTTTTGCAAAATGCGTCCCTGTATAATTTTTTTTCTATGCAGTCTTTATTATTTTAAAAACTTATTCTCATAAAAATATTTGTGTTAGTTGTGTATTAAATAACAATTAATTAAGATCTTTATTATTAAATAAATAGGAGGTAATAGAATATAATAGCTTTCAGTTTTCAACATGGTTTACAGTTCGCCATGGTTGGGCGGGCACCACCACATTTGGCACAAAATACCACAGAGCACAAGGATTCACACTTCACAGTTCAATTTTTCCATAATATTTCTCTCACTTCTTTGAGAATGATCATTCGTCGAGAAACGTCCACCACCTTCCACATGTCATCCACGGTGTCACCAAATGCCACTCTCCCAGCACCTTCTAACGCCACCACGAAACTTCTCCACCGCCACGTGTCACTTCTCCACCGCCACGTGTCACTTCTCCATGCACCCGAACCCATCGTCTCTATAAAATCCTTGAATTTGATCATGATCTTCGTGAAAAAGCAAAAATCCCTAAAAAAAAAAAAAATAATCGAAAGGGCAAAGACTTTGATAGAAGAACAATTATGGCGAGTGGCCAATTCCGACTGGTGTCGCCGGAGATAGTCCTTGAGGTTTACACTCAATCTTATTTTAGTGCATAACTTTTCAAACGTCGCACAGATGGTCCATGAGGTTTTATTTTGTTTCAGGTTCGGTCTTTCAATCAACTAGGCGTTAAAATTTGATAGAATCTGTGTAAATTAGAGTTCAAAATTAGAAATAGTTAAAATTTTAGGTATATTTGTGGAAATTAACTTTTAATTTTTTGTATTATTTTAGTCTCTAAACTTTATATGTTTTCAATTTCAGTCTATAATTTCTATAGATTCCGTTAAATATTTAACACCAAACTGATAGAAAGACCAAAACTGAACATAATCAAACCTTAGGGATCATCTGTGTGACGTTTGAAATGTCAGAGACTAAAGTAAAATTGAAACTAAATCTCAGGAACCATTTATGAGATTAATTCTAATAATAATAATAATAATAATAATAATAGTTAACTGTTTCCATTCCAGCCAAAAAAGTAAAAGTAATTAAAAAAATTAGGTAAATAGTTGTTTTTTGATAAGCTTTTTTAATAAATGGCTGAACCTTTTATTTTCTAAATAAATAGTCGATTATTTATTTATTTATTTTAACAAAATGATCATTTTTTTAAGTAATCGATTCATTATTATAATCTACTAGTGATTTATCATTCATGAACATGTCATTTATTGATTAAAATTAATTAATTACTACTCAATTTTGATTAATTGATAATGAAAAATCATCGAGTAAATCAGTGATAAACTTAATTCAATCAATAATTAACCACTAAGTCAATCAGTGATACATTAGTATCAGTAATTGACTACTAAATTAATGAGTATTTGATCATTAAGTTAATTAAAAAAATGACCATTTTACTAATTTTACAAAACATCAGTTATTTTCTTAAAAAATCCTTGATTAAAGGCCAATTGCCTCTATATATCCTAGTGTTGTCAAATGGGCCGGGCCATCCATGGATGGCACGGCCCAGCCCAGCCCATAATAGTGTCAGATTCGGCACGGCCCGGTACGCTACTGTTATGGGCCGTGTTAGCCCGGTACGTGTAATGGGCTAGAGCTGGGCCTTGGCTTCTCAGCCCGCGGCTCGAGCTCGTGAACACTCGCGGCCAGGCCTAAGCCCAGTTCGGCTCAAGCCCAGATTCGGCCCGGTCCAGGCCCGCGAAACGGCCCGCAGACCATTCTAAATGTGACCATTGGGCCTTTTCGTGGGCCCGTGATAGGCCTCCCATTTGGCCCGTGACGGTCCTCCTGTTTGGCCCGTGATGGGCCTCCCGTTAGGCCTGTCACGGGCCGCCCGTTCGGCATGCGAGGGGCCCAACAGTAACAATCCGAAAATGCCACAAAAATGCCATATAAATACCCCTTAATTCCACCCTAAATCACACACAATAATTCACTCCTAACTTCTCATCTCACTCTCATTTTATCTCTCATCTTGTCTTTTTGCTTTTGATTCTATGCTTTTTCTCGCGATCACTCATTTTCTTGCTCTTTTACTTACAAAGTTCAAGCTCAATCAATTTCCAGAAAATGGCCGCATCAAACTTCCCTGATTTCACTGCTTTTCCTGAGCTTGGTGATGAGGCATTATTCGAAGATGAAATAAGGCCTCCAAACCCCACTGAACCAGAAAATGCTCTGGTAGATAATGCTTCAGTGCACAACAAGGAAGCTGGATAACGCAGCAAGGGAAAAAGACTGCGAACTTCTCCGGCATGGTAGCATTTCACCGAGGAGCCCCGACTAAATCCAAAAACAGGTGAAATGGAAATTCATGCGGTATCTAAGTATTGTAAAAAACACTTTTCTAATAAAAAGGGTGGGGGTACTGGTCATCTAGATAGACATGGAAAAGTATATCTACCGTTGCACCAAGGTGGGAGTGTGGACTCCCGCCAACAAACACTATCACTCACATTACAGGGGTTACAAAATTTTACATATGATGCACAACGTGCTCGTGAGGCACTAGCTAAATTTCTAGCTAGTGCCGAATTGCCTCTTTCTTTTGCAGATGATGCGTTGTTCGAAGAATTCATCCAGACGGTCTTCTGCACACAATTTAAATGAGTAAGTATAAACACAACTCGTTCTGATTGCATGAAAGTGTTTTATGCAATGAGACAATCTCTTGTTGATAATTTTAAGACTTTTAATGCTATTGTCTCTTGTACTTCTGATCTATGGGAGGGGTGCAATAAAACTAGATATTTATGTGTCACGGCGCATTATGTTGATGACGAATGAGTTTTACAATAATTGGTTTTCATTTATGTCCATATTCTCATAACACATAATCTATTTTTGGTACAATAATGGAAATTTTTGGGTTTTATGGGATAGAAAATTGGGTGGGGGGGAGGGAGTTTTCATCAACGGTGTGCATGTCACAAAATTAATTTAGTAGTTTAGGCAGGAATTGAACATATTTCATCTAATCTAACAAATATTAGAGAATCTTTATCATTCATATCTAGTTATGGTGCTCGGCTCCAAGAATTCAAATAATATTGCAGGAACAGTCAGATGCGACCAAGAAAGTTTCCAACTGACGTGAGACATAAGTGGAATTTCACCTATTTAATGTTGAAGGCAGCATTCTCGTATTCACAGCTTATCACGACGTATGTAAACAGTAAGAACGATTAATTTTTACTTTTCGATACAGATTGACAGATTGGTGAGTATTTTTTAAAAATTTATGGAAGTTTTTTACAATGCTACTGAATTACTTTCTGGAGTTTATTATCCTACTGCACATTTAGCTTTACATCAACTATTTAATATTTCAGAAACATTTTCTTATTATATGGATACATAACTTTTTGGAGATATAGTTAAGTTAATGGAAAATAAATTTAAAAGTTATTGGTCAGGTTGTCCTATGTTATATGCATTGGCAACCATTTTAGATCCTAGGTGCGGAGTAGATGGGATTGACTCATTGATGACTGCTACAGCAAAAAATTTAGGAATAGATATGCAACTAACTATTACTGACGCTAAAAGAATGTTAGAAAAGGTATTTTGTTTATATGAAGCAAAATACGGCATAGGTTAAAAAGAACAGGGAACTTCGACGTCAACTAGCAGTTCGGGACCTAAAGGATCGTCAAGGAGTTTCTTGAAGAAGAAAGAAAAAACGGCAGGATCGTCATCAACACAAGCGTCTACCGAACTAATAAAATATTTTGAAGCAAATTTTACGACAAACTAGACATCTTACAGTGGTGGAAAAGCAAGATCGATCGTTTTCCAACACTGCTTGTAATAACTCGTGACATTCTGACAACTCTAGTGTCGACGGTAGATCGGACCAAGCATTTAGCGCTAGCAACTGAATTTTTGACGAGAAGAAAAACATAATGCATCCAGATATCTTGGAGGGGCTAATGTGTGTTAAAGACTGAGAAGATACCAGAAGACGAAAACAACAATACACGGATGATTCAATGCAAAAATATTTTTCTAACTTAGAAATAACATAATCTTTTGGAAGCACTTAGGTTTGTAATTTACTATTCCTTCCTACTGCACTCTTTCTTCTTTCGCTAAGGTTTTGTCCCGATCTCCCCATAGGTTTTACTTGGCAAGATTTTTCACGAGGTAGTCATTTATGTGTACTTATTCCTATTATGTCAATTCAATAAAATCACATCTTTTGGAGACGTATGATATATTTTCTTTTTTTAATTAAATTTTTTAAAAAAATACAATTTGTTGAGCCGGCCCGTGAAGGGTCTGAGCCCAAGCCCAACCCTGACCCATATGAATTAGGGTCGCGGGCCTGAGTTTTTTCTCTCAAGTCCAGCCCAGACACGACCCTGCACTGTGCAGGACCGTGCCAGGCCCAGCCCAGGCCCGTCACAGGCCTTGTATTGGATGTGCACGGCACGTTTGACACCTTTAGTATATCCCTTAAAATGTCCGGAAGGATTATTTGGGCTTAGAAAACGACGTCGTATCAAATGGAGGTTAGATCGCTCTGCACTAGACGACGGACGAAACCATTTGAAATACGTTTCTATGCAGCTGTTCAACCCGTTTCGTAAGACTCCTTCCAAAACTTTTCACTTTACATTAGTTCCGAACTATTCGTAGGCCGTACACCCGGCAAAGCAGTTTCCTCTCTTTTCAATCCATTATCCTTTTTCCAACACCAACCACACTTCGATTCTTCGCAGTTTTGTCCCGACCAAATCTTCGAGTTTCGACGATGAAGAAGAAGACTTCGACTTCGAACCCCAAAGGGTCACCGGTGGGCCCACAGAGCGAGGAGATCGATTGTGGGATGAGGCCCGGCGGGATGTTGGTCCAGATGCGCGACGACGGCGATTCCGGCGGCGCTTCCTCCCGTGGGCCCATGATCAAGATCAACGTCTCCCACGGCCCGGCCCACTACGAGCTCTTTGTCTCCGCCCATTCCACTTTCGGTACTCTCTTTTTCTTCTTCTACTCTCGATCGCTTCCGTTTCACTGTGGATCTTTTTTTCTCAATCGAACTTGGGATTTTGTTACGGTTTTGTGCTATTCAGTACTTTTTGTTCTTTTATTCGCGTTGTTTATTAACGTTACCTTTATATTTCACCGAACTGATTGTGTTTGGAACTAGATTATTTGAATTGGTTTTCGTGCACATAAGAATGCTTTAATTTCGTATGTACTTTTTGTGGGAATTTATTGTACAACGTTGGTGGGTTCGCTGGCAGAAATTGTTGCTTAAACATAAATTTTGTATATTTATTATTTGGGAAAATGGTTACTAGACTATATATTTGTTCTTATTCATTTTGCTATTGAATTTTTTTGTAGTTTGTTGAAGCTGGTAACTGGTCATGGCATTTTATGGTTATTTGTGGTTGCTAAACTTTACCCACTCATTGTTTGGCAATTGTATTTTATTATTGTCTTTTATATGGAAATTTGTTTTGTTTCATAGCGTGAAGTTGGTGTGTTGTTACTTTGCTTGACTTTTGGTCAGAATTTTTTTTAACGGTTTCTTTTTATTTGTTGAGATTTATATGAGCTTGCTTTGGTTGATTCATTGCCAGGGGACATAAAGAAGGCCCTTTTATATAAAACCGGTTTGGCGCCCAATGAGCAGAGACTCTTGTTCAGGGGAAAAGAAAAGGAGGATGAGGAACATTTGCACATGGCAGGAGTGAAGGATAATTCGAAACTTTTACTCTTGGAGGACCCAGCAAGCCAAGAGAGGAAGCTTGAGGAGCTGAACAACAGCTGTGAGATGTCAAACGCATGCGAAGCTGTTGCTGAGGTCCGAGCGGAGGTTGCTAATCTCGCTGAAAGGGTGAATATTGCTTCTTTTTATTAAAAGGTTTACTCACCAAATAAGGCTACAATTTCAGGGACTTATACGGGTTGTTTATGATTTATTAGGTTGCTGCCTTAGAAGTGGCTGTGGGGAATGGAACCAAGGTTGCGGAGAAGGAGTTTGATGTGACAACAGAGTTGCTTATGAGGCAGTTGCTTAAACTGGATGGTATTGAGGCTGAAGGAGAAGCGAAAATGCAACGGAAGGCCGAGGTTCGTATTTACCATTTGTTGTATCAAATCCAACATTATCTTTTAATGTTCCTTCTATTTTACTCCTTAGACATCCCCAATGGGGCTAGCCATTTCGGTTGTGTTTGAAGGTGGTTTTGTTTTTGTTTTTCACGTTTTTTGAGAAAGAAAAAATGAAAACGGGAGAGAAATGGCGTTCGGCACAATTAAAGGCAAAAAATAGAAATGAAAATGATTTTTTGGTTTAGTGTAAAATAGGAGAGAAATGAAAAATGATTTGTAGTTGTTTTTCATTTTTTATTTTCGTTTTCTCCTCTCTCAAGCACAGAGAGAGAGGGACATTAATGGATTTTTTTTTATACTGAAAACAATCTCTTGATAAAACTACTAAACACATTTTCAAAAATGATTTATGTCTGAGATTGAGAACATTTTACTTCCATTTTCATATAAAAAACAAAATCATTTTGGAACGAGTTCCAAACGCACTCTTCATGTTTTTGACCAAAATGGCTAACAATGTGACTTTTTTATTTTTTTTCCTTCACTCCAACCATTAGCCAGATGTTTAGCTATTCTAAAGAATACATTTAAGACTCGTCAAATGTAACGAGCAATAATGGGTTAGCTATTTAGTTATTTATTTATTTATTTTATTCTTTTATTTGACATAAAGTAAGTTAAAAAAAGTTATTTATATTTTAAATTCAAAAAATAGAAAACTAATCTAGGTTTAGCTAAAGTAGGGACTAGGGACCCTGGTTTAATTGGCTCACCCAAAAATTACTAGCTAAAATAGCTTTCTAGCTAGTTTAGCTAAAATTTAGGGAGGCCCCTTAGAGTTGTTCTTACACAAGGCCGCAACCTACATACTCTACATTTTATTTTCTTTGAAACCTTTTGCCCATCCCTGAATTGGAGGGAATTTGAGAGATTCATTGCCAACATTTTTGTATACTAGAATCCTCCCTACTCTTTTATTTGCTTTACAGCATTAATCGCTGATTAAAAAGAAGCTATCATCTTTTCTTTGATGGAAGAGAAAGGGGAAGGTTAAAGTGACTGTATCATATTCATTTATATCCAATATAGGATGTTTTGAGTGCGTTTGGAATTGGTTTTAAAATAATTTTGTTTTCAATAAAAAGTAAAAATGAGATTGTTTTGAGAATCATTCTGAAAACGATTCTGAAATTGCGTTTGGTTGGTTTTTTAAAAGATTGTTTTGAGTATAATAAAATAGTGAAATCATGTTTGATTATAATTATTAATTACTATATTATAATATTGTTGATAAGTATTAGAAAATGATAACAGAAAAGTGAAAACAACTTTCAACTGTTTTTAAAATTCCTTCACAAAAATCATTCTCACTGTTTTTGTTTCGTTTTTGTTTTCAAAACATTTTTTAAACAAACGCCGTTTCGTTTTCAATTTCATTTTTCCTCTTTGAAAAACGTAAAAAACGTTTTGGAAACGAAACCAAACACACCCTTTATGACGTGATTACACTGGCTTAAGGATTGATGTTTGCTTATCTTCACTAAGGAGTGGTTTGCATACGCTATATGGTACGTAGGTGTACACTAGAGGATGTCTTTTTTTTTTACATGAATTATAGCATCTCCAAGAGGACTCCCTAAGGGTCAGTTTGGTTGGAGGGATGGAGAGTAGCAAGGATGGAGAGAGTTGGAGGATGGAGAGTTGGAGGGATGGAGAGGATAATAGTAATTCTTCACGATGTTTGGTAGGAGGGAGGGAGAGTTGAAAGAATAGATGATAGTTATTTGTTAAATTATTGTATTGTCCATTTAAACTATTTGTTAATAATTTATTTAAAGGGTAAAACAGTCTTTTAAATGTTAAACTTGATGGATTGCTTGAATCCTTCTATTGATACAAGGATCCAATTTGGTGGGCCATGAGGGAGAGCACATCCCGTCACCTCTCCTTTCCCTCCGCTCCCTCCAATCAAACAAGTGATTTGCCCCCTCTCTCCACCTCTCTCCCTCCACCCCCTTGATCTCTCCATCTCTCCCTCGAACCAAACACACTCTAAATTTTAGCTTAATTAGCAACTTTTGGTTGAGCCACTCTAACCATAGTTTCCTATTTTAACTAAAAATAGATTATTTTTAAATGTTTATTTTTTATCTTTTTTGAATTTAAAATATAATTGATTTTTTTTTTAATTTTTACTTTTACTTTATGTCAAATCAAAGAATAAAATGATTAAAAAAAATGGCTAGCACATTCGTGCTCGTTACATTTGGCGAGTTTGAAAGTATTCTCCAAAATAGCTAAACATTTGGCTATCGGTTAGAACAGAGAAAAGCCAAAAAAAAAAAAAAAAAAAGAAAAAAAGTCGCATTGTTAGCCATTTTGGCTAAAAACATGAAACGTGTAGCCTTCTTTGAGATGCTCTTATTGCTATAATTTAAGTGTAAACTCTACATAGTTGTCTTTTTTTGTTGGTCCTGGAATTCTGCATGTAACTAATTCCATTAATACTTTTTGTTTTTCTGAATATCACACTTATAATCTAGAAATTTTATGGAGTTAAAAGATATTGTGAAAGTGGACCAGGCAATATTTCTTTCCAATTCCATTTGTTGTTGAATACTTTAGAACCCATCTTCTATTTGCAAGTTGGTATACACTGAGAGCCTGCACTACAGAGGCAACGTGGGAACAGGAAACAAGTGAAGGATTGCTTAAGTACTGCAGTTTAAGCATTCTTCCATAGTCTGCCTAACACGATCGCATCTGTTGTCTATTTGCTTCACAGAGGAGTACACTATCTCCTCATTCTTCTGGATACTGTTTTCGGAAGTCCACTAGAGTTGTGCGGCCTTTCGCCTGGTTTTTTTATATTAGTTGATGGATGTGCATGGGATTTTGTAATTCATATCCTTTTACCATGATTGTCGATATCCAAGTTACTGATATATGATCTGCAAAATGCGATTGGTGTGCACACCGTAATTTCCTTCTTTTATACACTTGACACTTTTGGTTGCTTATGTATTTCTACATTTCTGTTCAGCAGTCAATCTTCCTGAAGCCTAGACATCTTCTGCTAACTTTATCATTGCCAACATTTTCTTGTATCTGGAAGGAGCATCCCTCCCATGTCCCAGAAGCATGAAATAGAGGGATGCGCCTTATGTTTTTTTATTTTCATTGTTGTAGTGCAATAGATCATCTTTTTGAAACATAAATGTGATGCCTTCAAGTCTTATGCTAAAAAACGAGGTTCTCTATAACTATTGGTATAACTGTAATTTTATTTGGCCTCAGGGATGTATAATATATTGACCCCCCTGAAGGCTGCTCTATTATCAACTTATATATCTCTTTAACAGGTACGTCGTGTCCAGCACTTGGTGGACACACTGGATGCCCTAAAAGCAAGAAACTCCAATCCATTTCACAACACTAGCAAGGCTGTATCAGTAACAACTCGATGGGACTCTTTTGACTCTGGTGTCGGAAGCTTGACTGCCCCACCCCCAATGCAATCTTCAACAAACATATTGAAAGATTGGGAACGGTTTGATTAATGTAAAGTTTTTGTTATGGAATCGTAGAAACAGTAGTGGGAATATATACACCGAATGTTATTTTTGTACCTTCGGTGCTTCATTCACAATTGAGTTTGGTTGCTAGCACTATGTCTAGAAACAAGAACTTCCTTTTGCTCAAGAACGATTGGAATTGGTATAACATTATTCTATCTGTTCTCATCTATGAAACCGTACTATTAATCTCTCTTTTGTCATTGTTAAAGATTATCTTTTAGATCCCAACCTTGAATTGAAACTCATTGTTCTGAGCCCTAGATACCATATCAGTTATTGTTATTCTGTGTAGATTGTTCTGTGTCTATGTTAAGAGCAAGAGCAGCTTTTTCTGTTGACGAGACCTGTGTGTATGAGTATAATTTTTTATGAAAAGAAAGTGTGGTTTAGTGTTGTGGGGCCATATTTACCCTCATTGGCTTCAATCACCAAGGGTGAGGGCGTCTCGAATGGTCTCAATGGCTTCAAGAAGACGGGTTGTTGCACAGATGTGAGTGGTGAGCAGACGTGCATAGTGCTCCAGCTTCAGTGAGGCAAGTAAGCTCCATAGTTGTGCAAATTCCTTCCAAGCACTGAAATTCATTCGGACTAGAACTTGATTTTTATGTTCCTTGCAGGTAAGCCCATCAAGTAAGTTAACGTTTTTTCCCCTTCTTTTGAAGTTCTCTGGGTGGAGTGGAATTTAAGTAGTGAATTATACTCCCTTCTACCGTATAGTTGTTTGTGGTTTATGAGGTTGAGCTAACCCACTTGTTGCATTTGTCTTGGAATGTAAACTATACACGAGAAAAAAAATTTCCGAAACATAAAAAACAAGGAAAATGAATGACCAAGTGGCGAGATCGAATCGAGTGTAGTTCGGGGGTCATCCACTTGGGGTCTTTGCCCAAACAAAGTGGGGAAATGCGGGGTTTCTTGTGGTGAATGGTGGCCATTGTTATGGTCTGAATTCTTGAGAGCTTCGTAAGTTCGTCGCAGTACACAAATTATGGGAGCTCTCAAATGAATTAGATGCAGTTTCAGTGGTGAGGACATGGGAGATAGGAAGGGGCACATAATCTTAGCGGAGGTCACGGTTAATGGAGATGTCTTTGGAGTAGTACTAGTAGCCAGCTAGGAAGCAAATTTTACAGGTCTTTTAGTTTTATGTTATTATTTATTTATTTGTTTTCTGAGGTTGCTAATGTTGAATCCGTTTCAGTGGTCCTCTAATATCAAATTTGATTTTATAGTGGAACAGATTCAGGTGTTTGAATCGATGATGGCCCCACGATTTACAATGACCCATTATCATAATAATAATAATAATAATAATTATTATTATTATTATTATTATTGTTTCGTCAAAAATCTGCTAGAGAGAAACAAAGAAAACTACAACATGTTTATAATAGTGAATACTAGTTATAGTTAATACTAGTTTTTTTGCCCTCGCGTTGCTGCGGAAAAAATTATTATATTATAAAGAAAATCATGAGTTTTTACATTACAGCATTAATTTATATATACATGCATATACACATATATATATATATATATATGTATTTGTTTAAAGGTCTACTATAAAGGTCTAGTAAAAATATTTGTACATTACATTTTTGACTTTTCTTTTTTTGATGGTTCTTTGGAGCTGTAGCTGTAAAATAGGAATTTTTGAAAATATTAGTATAATAATTAGGAAAATTAAAATAAAGAATTTAGAAATAGTGATATTACCTGATTTTTAGTCATTTTCTAGATGGCTGTCATCTGTTTGTCTTCTCAATTGCTTGGATACTTTTGATGATTTTAATAACATCTGTTATTCAGTCAATAAAAAGTATTATTAATATGTTGATATGTTAATAATAATTTTGATGTACTAATATGTTGGTTTATTTTAGGCAATAAAGAAATTACCAATATTATATATCCTGTCCTGTTCTACATTTTTGACAAATGATATTTGAATCTCGTGCCCGTATCGATTTTTGTATTGCTTCGTGTTGTAGATAGGAAAGATTAAAAAGTTAGTTATATTACAATGTTCAGTACTGTATCAAATAGTATGTAATTTAGTATTTATAAAAATTGTTACTTCTTTGTCAATTAAGATGCAATCATGATTTATTAAACGTCTTGTAGTAAGGTTGACATCTACAAAATGCTAGTACCATGCAGCTGCTTCAAAGCCAACGTGATGCTCCTTGGTCAGATGAAATTATATACAAATAAAGAAACAAACATAAAGCTTTGTCTAATTGTGGCTCAAATATTGAGAAGAAAAACGGTTTTTTATATATAAAGCTAATCAAAGAAACGATTAGGAAAAATATATTTAAGTTCAAAACGTTTTTTATATACAAACAAAAAAATGAACACCAAAACAGGGGAGGTGATACTGTTGCTGTATTGGAAATCAAATTTGTAAAATGATAAAAGAAATAATATGGAAGAATTTAGTAAATAGAAATAGATAAAATTTAAATCATGTGAAAATGGTCTTAAATTTTTCGGGGGTAAAAAAGGAGAACAAAAGAAAAAGAAAAAGAGAAAGATTTAAACTATTTTAGTCAAAAGAAAAGAAAAATTGGAAATTCAAATAAGATAGATTTGTTCACAGTAATTTTTGAACACATTAGATGAAATTGAATAGGCCAAAACTGATCATCATCATTGCCACATACTATAGAAGAGGAAGAAGAAGAAAAAGAAAAAAAGGAAAAACATTTAAATCATTTTACTCAATATGAGTAAGGGGCATTTCTTGTCAACAAATTTTGGACCCACTATAGAGAGGTCAAAAGATCAAATTTAATTGTAAGTATCATTGTCATATACAAAACCAAGTAAGGGTTAAATATATTAAGCAAAAATGTGTACAGATATATGCGTATGTGATAATGAAGAAAATATGGGCAAGAGTTAGTGAAAGTACCTGTAACGAATATTGCCTGAAATAGTGAGTATGAGCCAATGAAACAGAAATCAGGTAGAGCTAGTTTAAAAGAATGAGTAGTAAATATGCCAAGATGAAACTAAAAAGCCAAAAAGCAAAAAAATGTTAGAGCAAGTAAAAAGGGAGAAGAAAGATGATATGAAGACAGTTTCCTAACTCAAATAATAAGAATAGAACAATAAAGAATCAAAACTAAGATAAAATCTTGACACCAACAGGAAAAAAGGACCAATACACCAAACTAAGTTAAAGTCATCAAAAAATTAGGATTAAATAAGTGGTACTGAAATCAACCTGGAAACTAAATTCAGTTGGTGGATTTAGCTTTAGATGGAGCAACGTTCACTTAAACAACCAAGAATGCCTTTCTCTTTCTAAGTTGGACAGGTTTCAATTCTCGGCTTTAGAGGGAATAGGAAGAGGAAGTGAGATAAACCCAAACACAGTTGTTTTGGGATTGTTTATATAAAGTTCAAGATGTCAAAATCCATCCCAATAATAATTACGATGTAAAGAAAAGAGAATAAAAGAAAAAAGTAGACATAGATTAACAAATAGTGAATGGCTATAGGCAAAGGTTATAAGTAATACCTGGAGCACTATAAACACTGCCTTAAATATGAAATAGCAACCAGTCAAAAACCAGCAAAGAAAGTGAGTAAATACAAAGGCCGGAAGTTGGAGTGGTAAATGAGTAGGATTAAAGCAGAGTAATAAATGATCGAAGATGAAATGCAAAGGATTAAAAGCCAAGCACAAGGGAGAAGAACAGGAATAGAAAGAGCAATCAATGATTGAGAATGTAGCAGAGTAGTAAATAACGTGAGATGAAATATGAAGGAGACAAAGCAAAGTCACGGGAGAGCAAGGGACAAATAGATAACAAAATGTTGATATAGCAGTAGCATTTATAAAGAGTAAATGAGGGAAAAAATTTCAACAGTACATGATTTATAAGAGGACACGTAGTAAAACAAAGTTGGTCTGTAAGAATTAAAAAAGTAAGAGGACGTTTAGTTGAAGTATTCAAATCATATGATTCAACATACGGTATACTAAGCAAAAACTAAATAATAGATAAATAATAATGAGTTTAGGAAACACAAAAAAGGGAAAAAAAGGAAAAAAAACAAAAAACAAAAAGGAAAAGCTTTCAATTTTTTTTTTTTTTCAGATTTTTCACAAATTTCAGGAATTAACTAACGATAAAAAAAAAAAAAGAAACAGTTCATTTAATGCTTCTGCAATAATATGGGTACAGATCATCAAGTTAAGTAGTTAATGTGTCTGCAATAATATGAGTACAGATCATCAATTTAGACAGTCAAATCAGCAATCTACATATCACAGATCAACAAATTAATGAATCTAGAGCAAAAGAATCTATGTTTAAGGTACAGATCATCAACCTAAGTAAATGCGTCTGCAACAATTTGGGTACAAATCATCAACCTAGGTAGCCAAATCAGCAGTCTAGATATCACAGATCAACAAATTAATCAATCCAAAATAAAAAAATCGATACTTATCTGTATATCAGGTGAAGTCAGCAACAAAGAATATCAAAAGACGCTCATAGAACCTTCTTTTTGCACAAATTTATCTCCTGAAATAGATCAATGACAAAAGTGAATAGCAAACAAAAAGAAAGGAAAAACCACCAAAATAAAAGCAAAAAAAAAATATATACCTCTTGAAGCATGGCAATGACAAAAGAAACCAGCCATTGAAACAAAAACCAAAAAAAGAAAAAAAAAATGAAAAGAAAAAAACATAATATTGAGTCGACCAAAAATAGAGGGAAAAAGTAAATTAAATGAGCAAATCAAACCAACAAAGGCAAAACCCAACCAAAAAATGGAAAAAAAAAAAGAGAAAAAGGCAGAAATGAGCAGAACATGGACTCGAGAAAAAAATAAAGGGAAAACTCGACAAAAAAATAAAGGGGAAACCAAACTAAATGAGCATATCAGACCAAGAAAGAAACATGCAAGAAAAATTTTTACCCAACCAAAAAAAGGAAAAAAAAAAAGAGAAAAAGGCAGAAATGAGTAGAACATGGACTCGACAAAAAAATAAAGGGGAAACCAAACTAAATGAGCAAATCAGACCAAGAAAGAAACATGCAAGAAAAAATTTCAAAAAACCTGCAGCAAAACGAAGTAAAAAAGCATCCAAAAATCAGGCGAAAACAGCAAAACGAAGCAAAAAACCATCCAAAAATCAAGCCAAAATCCCGCAAGAAAAAAATCAAAGAACCCACAACAAATATCACATAAACCATGGATGTTCACTCGTGGCCAAATGGAATCAAAGAAACCAAATCAAGAGAGAAGCAATTGGGGCGGAAAAAAAAAATGAAGAAGACACAAAGATGAGGAAACGATAGAAGGCTCCAGAAGACAACGATTGAAGGCTCCAGAAGACACAGGCTTAGTTTGGTAGGGATTTTGGGAAGCTAAAATCACTTTTTTCTAAAAGCTCTTTCTCAGCTGAAATTAGAAGCAGCTGTGTTGGTGCTTCTGATTTCAGATTATACGGGAATCTGAAACCCTCATTAATGAAATTTTAGTTATTCCCAAAATAACCTAAACCTATCATTCTGAACTCCTTCGTTCTCTCACAGCCTCAGCCCTCTCCTGGAACTCTCAGCCTCAGCCTCCTCTCGTGTTCTCTGACCTTAGCCTCTCTCAGCCTCAGCCTCCGCTCTCTCAGTCAAAGCTCTCTCCCTCCGTTTATCTTTTTTCTCTCTCTCGGACTCCCTCTCTCCGTTTATCTCCTGCGATTGTCGGCGGCGGAGTCCCCAAAATCTCTGTTCTCTCGGTGTTGGTGGTTTTGCTCGTGTTAGGGTTTCCAGATTTTGTCGCCAGCTGAGATCGGATCTGATTGGAGCTCACAATCTCTGCATCTGTAAGTACTCGATTGAGCTTTTTTTTTATGTCGATTTGGTGTATGGCTTGATGAAATTTGGGTTTTGAATGTCGATTTGGGTTTCCAGATTTTGTACAAATTTTTTTTTCTCTGCTCTGTAAACCGTAAACCCTTTGTTTATCCTCTAAATGTGGAATTGGTCACGGATTTTTTTTTTCTCTGAATGTCGATTTGGGCTTACTTTGGTAGAGATTTTTGGAGGCCAAAATCGATTTTTTAAAGTACATTTGCTAGACAAATCTAGATAAAAATGAGATGGTGGAAGAACATGGATGTATCCTTGAAGCTCGTTGAAGAAGATAATTAATTATCTGATTGTGGTTTCTTATCTGGGTATGAGTTTGCTTCTAGTTTACCATGAGTATATATGTTAAGACATTAAGAAATAAAAAAGAAAAAAAACGAAAGAGAGAAGAACATGACCTAATACATTAATAATCCTTAATTCTTGAAAACAAAAAAAAGAAAGGAAAATATATCCTTGAGAGAAGAAAGCATCAAGTATGATATGTAAAAATAAAATGACAGCCTTTTGCAATCACTTTTCCAAGGCTTTTTAGTCTTAAAAAGGATAGGGAGGTGAAAATAAAAGAGGTTTTTGTCTGTAGGTGATAATTCTGTTGTAACTCTATACTGGTGGACAATTTTTTCGGTTTTGGGAGGGAGAGAAAAACCAAGACAATTTGGAGAGCTTTGATTCTAGCTATTTTATATGGCATCTGGATCGAGAGAAATCATAGAATCTTTAATGATAAAGAGATGTCTTTTGAAGATCTTTTTGATAGGAAGTTGACAAAGCTCAGGTTAATAGGAAGTTGATTATTTGCAGGCTATGTGTTTGAATGTTTGGCTATGTTAATTATTTGCAGCTTCAACAATTTGATCTTTTGCCATTTTTTACCATTCTATTGCAATTTCGGTATAATTCTCTTTGGTGTTTTCTCTTTTTTTTTTTTTTGCCTTTAAATAAAATGTCTTTTGACTTTTATACAAGATTTACTTTCTTAAGATGCCCCTTTATTATTCTTATTTGGTTTTGTTGTAGAGGTTGGAAACCAAGTATCAATCGAATCCTGAACAATTCAACCAGTTGTATAGTTTGGTGAGTGTTGAGGTTGAAGCTAAAACAGCAAAAGGATCATCCAGCTGCACCAATGGTCTTCTTTGGTTGACGAGGTAAAGGTTTCATTTCGACATTCATGTGCAAAGCTCGATAGTTACATTAGCTATATGCAACTTAATGATACAAGTGATGAAAAAGGGTTGTGAGACTGCTGACTATATTGTTATTTTTGGACGGCTAGACATTGTTATAGTAAATTATTGCTTTTGGTCTTCCCAAAAACTGCAGGGCTTTCTTCATTGAAAAGTGGATTCTGCACCAGTAGGAAAGCTAGAATTCTGTGTAATTTATTATTCTAGAAGTTATTTAGATTCTTTAGTTGGAGAGAAATGGGAAACTTAAAATTAGAATATTGTTGGAGGATGAATTTTTTTTGGCCTATAAAGGCTTCTACAATTGCTTTGAAGATATTTCTTTTCATTTACTTTTGAAGAGGTTTAAGAGATGATTTGTTATTCATAAGATTTTTTTTTTTTCGTTTTAGTGCTTTCCGTTTTTCTTTAAATGTCGTGGGAAGAAATGGTTAAATTTGTTATCCTCCATTCATCTTACTTTTTTGTATACCACTTTGGTTTCTATTATTGTGATTAATAGATCACCAAATACGCAGTTTTTGTATCTCATCTTACAAATGTTCAGGGTAATGGATTTCCTAGTGGCATTGTTTCGCAACTTACTGGAGCATCCAGATTGGCCGATGTCACAGGCTTTTACATATTCCTTTGGCAAGACCCTGAAGAAATGAATATTTTGCATTTTATCTGTAGTCGGCTTTGCAGTTTCACAGCTCCACAATCCCGGTTCTTTTTTATCTAAAAGAAGCTTCTCAATAGAATGAATTCAATAAGAATGGAATATGCCCTATGGTTGATCGAAGGACAATCTTTTTGAAAGGGAAGGGAGCATTGAGTCGTTTACATCATCTTCTGTAGAATTCTCAACTGGATATTCAATACTAATGTTAGACCTTAAATAAGGTGTAAAATAAATAGTGATGCTATTAGGCAGCTTTTGGTTTGGTTTCAGGCATGAGCATCCTATTATTCCAGGAGTGGGCTTTCCCCATTTCATTCTCTGTGTTGCTTGCTACCGTGAAAAAGGGTAAACATGTTTTGTAATTTTGAATGAATTATTTACTTCATATAAGATGTTTGTTATATGATTTTTATCTACCTTACAGTCTGATTTTTTTTCCTACTCACGGACAAATGTGAAAGAGGTTGCATATATTCATTCATTCAGTTACCCGTTTTCTTTTCAGTTGGTTTTTTATTCTTGTGAGCCTTTATACTTTGGTCTCTATAGATGGAACGGAATGGCATACTTTTTTAGGAAAAGGCGATGGGGGCCAATTGATATTTTTGAGAAGACAAAGTTCTATGCATTGCTATGGGCTGTTTCAGGGTTCCCGTTTACTTTGGTCATTTTGAATTGGAAAGATGTAATAGGGAATTGATTGGAGATACCAATTATGTGTTTATCTTGCTCGTTTTGTATGTTAGTCAGTTTTTCACACCTGGCCATTTTTGTTTCTTTTTGGTTTGAGGATACCTTTGTCCTCTGCCCTTGTTATTGAATTTTATCAATAAAGTTTTTATTATAAAAAAAATAAGCACGTAAAAAAAATAGCAAAATGTGCCATAAAACAATACTTCATATATTTATTTCTTTTTACTTAAACAATCCAATGCAGGTAAATAAATAAATGGCATAGCTTCGCTTCATTAATAATCCTATTATACCAATGGTATTTTGATTAGGAAATGATAATCCTAATTGAAGCTAGGCGGCTCCACCTAGCCCGATCCGAGGGCCTCACCCATCAACGTGTGAATTTGTTCATTTACGTAAGTGTATCTGTATGTATATGAATATGTTTGAAATGTTCTTTATTTGTAGTCCTATAATTAACTATCATTTGGTTTAGCTCGTTTCTTGGCATGAAATTTCTCAACAAATTTATCATATTTTCTTACAAATTTTTGAGAAGAACCCCACCAAAATTGATAATTATGGTATTTTGTTGCGTTATCAAGACTGCAACTGTCTCTGCCAAGCTTTGCAAGAGAGAGAGCACAAAACAATTCCACAACTTGAAGACTACAACTGTCCCTGAGTAATTGTCACTAATGTTTCTTTTAGTTGTAATTATATTGTGAATGAAGAAATTAAAAAAAAAGAGAATTAATTATCATAAATTTATTGTTAAAAAATTCAAAATCATAACATTATGTGTTTTTAAAGTTAAACAAGTATTTTTAAATACCAAAAATAATTATATATATTTAAGTTTCATATCATGTCTATTTTGGTCATTTTACATACCCACAGCAATTCCACCTCAAAATTTACCAAACGCTATTATACTGATTTTGAAACCAGCACAGCTACTATAATTACAGTTTACCAAACACTCAGCTACTTCTTAGAACAGCTGCTTCTTCCTTCAGCACAGCTAAAAGCACTTTTTTTAAAATCTACAGTACTACCAAACTAAGCCACAAAGACCAAGAGAGAGAGAGAAGGCAGAAAAAATCAACATTAAAAATGCAATGGCAAAAATGCCCCTCTAACTAAGCCAAACAATGAGGAAAAATCAAGGGCAAAAATGTAAAATAACATAACAGGACACAATGGGCATTAAAAAAATTAAGCATCAGAAAGGAGGGGCAAAACCGGGAATTCACTGTTCATTTACTGTACAATGAATCCTGCCTCTCCTTTAGTATATATTAATAATATGTATATAGGAAGGGCAAGGTCACGCAATAACTATTATAATGAGTCTGATGTTTAATGCTACGAAATCACGGATTAATTATATAAATATATTAGTTTTTGCTATTTGTAAGATATTTTAAATGTTTTGCTTATATTTTAACTTGATTAGCAAAGACTTGAGAGAGAAAATTGGGATCTGGAAGAGTGGGAAAGCGGAGAAAGGTTTCGATTGTAGGTGTTTGATCATCTCATTTTGGCACGTGTCCCTTTAATTTAGGTTCGTCGTAGGAAACCTGAAACGTGTCTGTCTCTTTCTAGATTCCAATATTTGGTTAAAAGTTGGATCCACTTTTGTTGACTTTTCTTCCTTCTAGCTCAAATGCATCGCTGGGGCTTCTCAAATAGGTTCCTACTTTTCGACTCCTATTTGTACAAAACTATGGGTGGATTTCTCATAGATGTTTGGTAAATCACAATTATTTCTTTAATAGCCTTTATTTTTTAATTTCATGTTAATACAGTGTTTATAGACAAAATCACAGATTTTTCTCTCTTTTTCTTTTTCTGGAGAATTCTAGGAAAAATGTTTATTAAGCAGTTAAATTCTTAAAAAAAAAAAAGAAAAAAAAAAAAAAGATTCAACATAGGAGGCCTCGAATTATACAAAATTCATGAAAGAGCATTTAGTAATTGCAACGTGACCTAATATTGTCTCGCCGCCTACCTCAAAAGCTAATAATTTTACAATTAAAACAAACAATAACCGCCTTTACCATTGAAATTCCTTGGACTTCAAAAATTCTACTTACACAAACAACAAATAAACAACTTAAAGGTTGATAGTCACACCTCTTGCACCAGTAATATAAGGAGAAGGCGCAACTTCTTCACCGTACGTTGGCATATTCCAGCTATTATGCCTCGTCGGGTCGTACTTTTCGCCGTCTCCCCACAGCGCATAGGCCTCTTCTCCGTGGACGGCGTCATCTCCGATCATCAACTGATTGTCCGGCATCCTCAGCGGAATGAATAGCCTTATAAAAAGAAGTATGATTGTTGTGGACACTATGTTCCACCCGATGACAAACGTGGCGGCCGCCATTTGTTTCAAGAACTGGACTCTGCCTGTTCCACCGTAGAATGCTCCTCTCGAATCGGATCTAGGTAGTATGAGCCGACAAAGCTCTGGCTCCGCAAACAGACCCGTCATAAGGCCTCCCAATAGTCCGGCCACCGCGTGTGTGTGGAATACTCCGAGGGTGTCATCCACCTACAAGAGAAGAGAACATTCATTCAAACATTGTTTTTAGGCACTACGTAAGTATATACACAAGGAATATGAGAGTTTCTTTTGCTATGAAATCTTTTGGATCTTATGACATTAAGAGCTAATTTGTCAATTCATTATTAAAATTTCAGGAAAAATAATAATGAAATTGGTATATTCAAAAATGATTTTCGGACCACAAATTGGAATGATATCCACTTGTTTTCGCTAATTTCAAGATCAACCATTTGTTTCTGGCATCCAATTTAATAATTCAAGTTGGTTATGGCAACTTTCTTTCACCCAGAATATAGTATTTTTATTTAGGAGAGTCCTGTTACATGGTAAGAAAAAATATATCTTGACATAGTTTGTAATTTTTATCAAAACCCGTCAAACCACTATACTTTTCTTATTCTACATAATGTAACGTGAAGATTAAAAACCATGTCCCACCAAATTCTCCTTTATTTAACTTAACTTTGTTTCTTTTAATTTGCTATTTCATGTCATTCTAGAAACTAGTATTGCGGGTGGGTCACAAAAAAAGAAGAAATTTAAGTAATGAAGACTTTTTAAGATATATGAATTCAACGAATAATCATACATTTGAAGAAAGCAAGTTTATTATGGTCAATTCAGCTTGTACTTAACGAAAAGATAAATAGGATAAGAAAGAATATGAATTCTGTCACTAGCGCATTGAGTCATTGTTGAAAATGATAGTTGCTTTTTTTTATTTTTTTAAAAAAAATTTAAATGCCGACTCTGGGGAAGAATTTGAATCCTTTTAAATTTAATGGAAAAGAGACAAACGACAAAAAAAAAAAAAAAATTGGCATGTGTGAGACAGAGGGAGATGACGAAGAGAAAATTGTTATATTGAGTCATTGTTGAAAATGATAGTTGCTTTTTTTTATTTTTTTAAAAAAAATTTAAATGCCGACTCTGGGGAAGAATTTGAATCCTTTTAAATTTAATGGAAAAGAGACAAACGACAAAAAAAAAAAAAAATTGGCATGTGTGAGACAGAGGGAGATGACGAAGAGAAAATTGTTATATTTATCTTACAAGTCTCAATTTTTACTGTTTATTTTTTATTAATATTTTTTAATTAATATAATTATTTAATTAAAAAAATATTAATAAAAAATAAAAAGTAAAAATTTAGGCTCATATATTTTAAAAATTATTTGTCTCCTTTCAGTGCGGAACCAAGAACTAAGATTTAAAAGAGTAATCTAATCTATTAAAAAATAAAAAATAAAATAAAATTCATAGCAATTGAATTACAAACAAATTTGCCTCTGTTTGTTTTAACAATTAGAACTGTTGTTTAGGATTCAAACTTTAATTCAAGATTTAAACTGGTATTTAGGAGAAGAAAATTCAAGAACAATTCAAACAAGTAACAATAGTTCGAGGACAACTCAAATTGTTGATTTTAGAATTCATCTCCCCCTAAATTCTAACAATTAGAATTGTTGTCAATAGTCTAACAATTTTAGATTATACTTTTTCTCTCTCTTCAATTTCAATCTTAAAAATGTAATAACTTCTTTTTCCTTTTAATTCCGATTGAGATGATTTTTTTAATGTGTTCATAATGAAGAGAGGAACAAATCATCACCCATATTGTAAATTTTTTAATGTCATTTATAATGAGGTTCTATAAGATTTGTTGCAAAACTCTAATGACAGTTTTCAATACTTTATCCAAGCACAGTTTGAATTTTATTCTTAATTTAAATTACAATTTATTTGCATATCCAAATAACATTTCAAATCACAACAGTTTAGATTCTACAATTTTAATAAAAAAATTTAAATCTTCACAGTTTGAGTTATTGAATCAAACAAGCCATTATTATCGAATATAGCAGATCATTTGTATTAATTAATATCGTGAAGATTTGGTCGGACTTAGGTCGCCGTGAAATCTTCTTTCTTGTTCCCACCGTACAAAATTTTAGTTCCATGTTGTTTGAATTGTGATTCATGTTCTCCAATAGAAAAATCAATTGTGATAAGGACGACATGCTCAAGATAATGCTATCAATTGTTTAGGGCACAAAAAGAAGGGGGGAAATTGAAAAGTTGAAAAAAAGGTGTTCAAAATCGAAGCTAGCCTACAAGAAAGTTATTTTTGTTAGCAAATTATGGATTATGGATTTTTTTTTACGCAATTCCATAAAGTAGCTACTTTATTCACATGGTTTACATGGTTTTTTATGCAATTGTTGAAATATTTACTAATAAATAAAAATCTGTAGCTTCATTTCTAGGTTAACCCATGTGAATAAATTACTACTAATAATAAGTAAACTTCAAAAATTATCCAAAAAAATAAAATAAAATAAAAGTAAACTTCAAAAACCAAACTGGAAAAAGACTTTCAAAATCAAGCTTTCAATCACCTTATCTATCTTCTCTAGACTTCACAGAAAGACAAAAGTAGTGGGAAAAACCAACAAGCAAGTAGGACAGCCTACAAATTCTTATCAATTGTCTACTGCACAACTATATATATATATATATATGTATAGCATATCGTACATAAACACATGAATATGAAAGGAAGAAGCAAAAGTAGTCGAAATAAAAAGTAATTATTTATGAGGAGTGTGAAAACTAACCAACCTTTTGAAATAGACTAGACTTTTTGTGAAGCACCATCATTGACACCCACGGAATGCTACCAGAAAGTATTCCATACACTATAGCCGCCCACGATTGCACCAATCCTTCAATAATTAATTAATTGTTACCAAACCAAAAATGCAATTTAGTCAATTTTAAAAATACTACAATTAATTTTTAAAAACAGAAGACTTTTACCGGTAAGACTTCCCTAAGAGACAGTTTTTAATGGTTGATTCTTACTTAAATCATATCAGATTAAAAAAATAAATTGAACAGATTATTTATGATACAGATCTAACAGTTAAAAATAAAAAATTATTAAATAGTTAATTTTTTTTAGTTCTCCCAGAAAAACTCTGTAAAAAAACTATAATTTTCGTTTCAAAGGAAGATAATTGTTTTGCTAGAAATAATACCTGCCCCGGGTGTGATGCATGCTAGTCCGGTCATCATTCCCTGGACGGCTCCGATCACCGACGGTTTCCCAAAGAATATGACATCGAGAGTAGTCCACATGAGGAGGCTAGTGGCAGCGCAGATGTTGGTGTTCAACACCGCAATTGAGGAGTCAATGTTGGCAGCATATGGCGCCCCCCCGTTAAAACCTGACCACCCCATCCACAGCAGCCCGGCGCCCGCCAGCATGAGCAGCACGTTGTTTGGAGGGAATCTTTCCCTGTCGCTCTTCAGCCGTGGACCTACCTGTGACCCAAAGTCAAAAGCACCAATCAATATCACAACTCGTGACAAGTGATAGGGATTTAGTCTAATGGATTCCGTGGTAGAGTACCACTCGTCTTCTTAATTGGATGGCCATATTTGCTGGCATTAGAAAAACGCATTAAAAACACCCAGTACTATTTCTTCCAAAAAAAAAAAACGCCTACTACAATTGCTTTTTATTTTTCGTAATGACAAATTTTAGGCCCTTTTGTTTTCTTAGAAAACTGAAAATAGGTACTGAATTGACCAAGTTAATTATATTTTTTTAATAGAATAAGTATATATACACCTCATACCAAAAGACATGATGATACTTTAATACATGATGAAATTCAGCATATATAAAATTTGTTCGTTTTAAAAAAAATTGTTTTTTTTTTAAATTTATTTCAATGAAGAGAACCAACTTATTTTTCAGTTTAATGGAGCAAACGAGTAATTTTCCTAAAGGAAACAATTTAAAAAATATCTATGTAGCAATTAGCAAATAATGTTAAGCTGTAATGGAGGTAATTAGTTGTTAATAATCATCTATCTCCGGCCGGTAACAAATTAAACTAATTTATTGGCAGCACAAAAAAAAAAAAAAAAGAATAAGTAATTTGTGAAGAGAATCTGATGTACCCAATAAGCAGCTGTGAAACCGGAGATTCCAGAAGAGAGATGAATAACATATCCGCCGGAGTAGTCAATAACTCCCCAGTGGTAAAGAAACCCTCCACCCCACAAACTGAAAGCTCCAACCGTATAAGAAAACAGCAACCAAAGAGGGACAAAAGCCATCCAAGCCTTGATGCTCATCCTCCCAAGAACCGACCCGGCTAGTAAAATCACCGTGATCGCCGCAAAAGTGAACTGGAAGTAGACCAGCGTCGCCATCGGGTAAAACGGCACGGTCTCCCTCTCGATGGAGCCGTCGTCGTTTCGACGGATGCTCTCGGGGATTTTGGCCCGGTTGATGAGGAACTTCTGGCCAAGGGACACGGCGCCTTTGCCCCAGAATGGGAGGAGCTCGTCGCCGAACGCCATTCGGTATCCGATGAGAACCCAGCAGATGAGCACGGCGGCGAAGGCATAGAGAGCCATGAAGGCCGAATTGACCGCCCACTTCTTTTTCACTATGCTGGCGTAGAGGATCACCAGGCCCGGCATGCTTTGTATCCCCACCAGCACCGACGCCGTCATCTGCCACGCGTTGTCGCCTTTGTTTAGCCATGAGGGTACAGCAGGCGTCACCGTCGCATAGGCCTCTGGGAGCGCCATACTGGCCTAAAACACGATGCGGCGGTGTCACGATGCGGCGGTGTCGCTTCAGTTTGACTAATTGAGTAGATAAAGTTTTGCGTTTATAATTTTGTAAAGTGAGGAATATGGATGGATTCAAAAGGAAAATATTTATGTGACGATCTCTCTCTATATGAAAGTATTGGTATAAGGGAAGTTTCCCATGGGAATTCGATTATATTTCACATTTGAAGATAAGAAAGTACATATTTTGTAAGATAAAATATTGACTTTTGAAAATGTGAAGGCAACGAGGGCTTTGACGGTGCTTAATTGTAGAGTCTTATTTATTTATTATTTCAAGTTGAGCAACATTGGTTTGTTAAACATCTTTGTCATGGTGAAAATGTGGAGAAGTTTCAGTGGTTGGTAGACGAGTAGCCATCTCTCGTAGTCGCAAGGAACATTCGTCATTTGGAATCACGGGTATAATAATAGTCTGCTTATGGTGTTTGGTGTATTGCCTTTACTTTGACTAAATAAGGTTCTTTTCGTCTTTAAGGAAAGGAAATTGCAGGATTTCTTTAACGAAGTATTGAAAAAATATATTTTGTATTAATGGAATAATGGAATTTTCTTAGCGGATTTTCTCTGGAAGTCTCGATGAAAAAATAGACCATGGCCTTCGATTCTTTCAGCTGGAAGAAAAATTTATCAAAGTTTGGACAAGCAGACATTTATGGGGTTCTTCTTTTCCTTTTGGTTTTGGATACCACATATGTTTCTACAGTAAGCCCGTTACTACATACCACATATGTTTTGAGATGTTAGATTTGATTAAAATCATATAAAAAATGAGAAATATGAAAAGAAATACAAAACTGATTCGTACAAATTTAGCGGTATCATTAGTGTATTTTTTTTTTTTTTTACCTTCCTATGATTTTACGAGTACATAGTATTCAATCTCTCAATATTCAAGTTTGTTTATTACAATAACGAAGGTAGCTATTTATAACTCACTTTCAAAAACGATAACAAAACACCACTAAATATAATCGACAAACTATTACAAAATAAAACTAAATTAAAAAACTAAAATAAACGACAATAAAATATAAAAATGACTACTTATATATAGAACTCTCTGCATCACAACACCTAGCTAACTCAACAGGTTGCCTGAAAATGAATATAATTGTTGATTCTCTTTTCTTTCTTCTTTTTTTTGGGGGGGTAAGAGATATAAATTGAATTATACACCTTCATTAATTTTGATATGCTAAATAATTGTATATGGTATTCATTATCAAACAGTATATAATTGGGATAATCTAAGCTCCTCTAATATTGATCATCCAAGCTAGTTATATGATATTATACATCATGTGAAATTACATCAAGGTCCTTTGCAGTTGTTGGAAGTCAGGGAGATGATGTTGTCCAAAGCATGGGGCTTGCTGGTAGATAATTGAGGCAGCTCGAATAAGAATGCTTGCAGTTAAACCCCTGATGCCAAGAACCCCATGTTGATCAGACAAAAATTCAAAGTTGTGGACAACATACATCCAACCCATCCATTCTCTCTCCTCGAATTTATGATTGTCCATCTGCATAAACACAGAAATAGAGCAATGCCATTAATGCAATATAAAAATAGAAGCTACTTACAAAGAGTCCATGACATAATAAAGCAATTATTAACCTTATAACTACTCTCCAATTTCTTGTAGACAAATATATAATTGACCGTACATGGTGAGGGTGAGCGGAAAGTCTTCCCAAACCCCTACTCTGGCCAAAAAGGCAAAAAAAAAAAAAAAAAAAAAAAAAAAAAAAAAAAAGAGTATTCAAAATATGCTGTGAATTATATTATAGTCCTACTTGAAAGACGTACTTTCAAGTACATATAAAAATAAAAAAGCGTAATATAGTATTTATCATATAGTATTTATGTAACGTAAATATTCATGTAGGAAATATGAAGAAATTTGTTATTTCAGATTAATATTATGACGCCCTTCAATATTTGAATAAATATCATATTAAACTTCTATATTTTATACGCATCCGTCCGCATTGTTAGTTTAGTCTAGGACGAGAACGCAATTTCCACTCCCCTTCATCAACGTGATTGCTGATTTTTAGGGAAGTGGGATTTTGATGGGGTAGAGAGCATTTCTATTTGGCTCCTTGATATCGGGGTCTCAGGGGTGTGCCCATACAAAATGGTGGAGTCATCTTTATTTTATGGGAGCTCAAGCTTCACGCAAAGCATTTTTATATGGAAGGTCAGATTAGAAAATTTATTGCCAGAATATACCGTTAAAAAAGAAAGGGAATTTCTTCGGTAAGACTTCCCTATTAGTATGACCAGTTTCTAACCATTAAGTCTGGTTAAAATCACATTAAATTAAAAAATTATACAAAATAAATAGTTTATGATACAGATCTGAAGACAGAAAGTAAGGAGTGTTGATGCTCAAATCTAGCACAACACCGCATGCAGAAGTAGATGGTAGTCGGGCTCTCTTCTCTACCTCTTATGGTCGGATCCCTAGCACTGTTAGGGATAGATATTCAGACAAATCCCTATCACTTTTATGCGCATGCCCTAACACTATTCGGGACGGATCCCTATAATTGTTCTAACCTACAACAAAAGGGCAGATGGCCTCAAAGTGAGGAAGACACTGACGTGGTGTCTGCTAAAGGCATTCTGATGCTCAAGTCAGATTACTGATCGAGAGCGATTAATAGAGAGACAGAGTCCACGTATAGAGTTTGTATGTACCTTTGGAGCTAATAATTTTGGCATTTATAGTGTTTCCAGAGCAAAGTAGTGCCCAGATGCGACCTGAAATCTAGAGGTAACTCGGTGTAAAGTGGTACTGATCATACGACATGTGTCACGCTCTTGTACGTGGAGGGAGCCCCCAATGGAGATTGCAGAGAGGAGGCCACGTGGTAGTCAGTTGGCTACTTAGACAATTGTCCTGTTCTGTTAATCGGTAACGGAGAGTGCTCGGATTAAGTGCTTAGGTTGTGATCGAAACTGGTGGTCAGAGCAGGTGTTCAGCCTATTCGGACTAGGTGTTCTGCTGTTCGGACCAAGTGCTCAACTTGTTCTACTTGTTCGGCTTGTTCAGATCAGGTGCTTGGCCTGTGGTTGGACCAGGTGTTTTGCCTATTTAGCCTTTTTAGACCATGTGCTCTGCCTGTGGTTGGACTAGGTGCTCGACCTATTCGGACCCGGTGTTTGGCCTGTTCAGACCAGATGCTTGACTTGTTCTGCATGTTCGCCCTATTTAGACCTGGTGCTCCGTCTGTGGTCTGACCCAGTAGTCAGATCAAGTGTTTGGCGTATTTAACCTATTCAGACCAAGTACTCGGCATGTGGTTGAACCCGATGGTCGGACCAGGTGTTCGACCTATTCATCCCGTTTGGACCAAGTGTTCGACTTGTTCTGTCTGTTCGGCCTATTTGGACCAGGTGTTCGGCTTGTTCTGTCTATTCGGCCTATTTGAACTAGGCACTCGACCTTCTTCCGGTCATGAAATGACTACCCCTCAATAGGGAGTTAATAGTAGTTTATTTTTCTAGTCATATTAGAGAAACTCCCTAAAAAAAAAGAAAAAACAATATAATATTAGAGCTGAACAAGAATGCATGATATTGATTCCTAATACAGTTCCCTTTCTATTCCGATCCTTTTCCACGACGGATTAATAAATACACAACTACTATAAGGGTACGTTTATTTTGATAGATTGACCATTAGAATGAAATATCGATTTCTAGAATCTAGTCATTCTTATGTAATTTGTTTGGACAAAAACACTTAAAAATTGCTATTTTTTTGTAATAACTATTCCATAAAATAGTTAAATAAAAATTGCTAAAGGGAACCGGTTGAATGATTATTCTATTTCAAAACTGATTTTAATTTAAATTCTCTCTCTAAATTATCCCTTCCAATGTACTAAAATTAACTTTAAATGCCCTTTTCAGTATCTCATTTTTTTAAATATTATTAATGATTATTGAAGGGGTATTTTAGTCAAAACATATGCTTTTCCATTATATTTTAAAGACTAATAAACATAATAATTGTGATTCCAATAGTAATTCCAATGTTCAACTAAACAACAAAATTTGAATAAATTATTTAATCTATCCTTATTACCATTCTATTACTTTGTAATTTATATTTCTATTCTCATTCCATTATATCAAACTAAATGTCACCAAGTTGATACGAAATTATCTTTGTTTTAGATAGCGTAGACGATGAAAAAGTTTTGCTGTCCTATATAAAGAATGTGCGGTCGAATTTGACTTAGTGGAGTAGACTAAAAGAAGCGTTTTTATTTTTTATTTTTTATTTTTTATTATTTTCTTCTTTTTTCTTTTGTTAAAAAAGATGTTAAAATATAAAAATTATTATTAGCCCACCTCCTAACATCTTAACCTTTTGGGATTAATTGATAAACTAACATAGTATCAGAAAAGGAGGTCTTGAGTTTAAACTCTCATAATTACATTCTTTATTTTCATTTAAATTGTCATTATGCGTTGAGTTTTTAATATATATCGGGTTTAAATATTCACATGTTGGACTTTCTAATTAATTTACCGTTGCTCATTGTCCAGCCCACACGTGAAGAGAAGTGTCAAAATATCAAAATTATTATTGACCCACCTCTTAACAACTTAAATTTTTTAGATGAATTAGTAAACTAACCAACGAAAATTTCATATCAAACAAGAGAAATACAAATATTAGTGCATATTCAAATGACTCTAAGACATAATTAGAGTCCTTGAAAAACATAGACCCGATCCATGAGTCATTTCAAATGAAAAGTTTAAAGAGAAAAAACGTGTAACAAAAGACGATAATTGTAAGAATAATAACTAAATCGATGAAGTAAGCAAATCAAGATTGTTAATTTTGAAAAAGAGACGTGATTCACTAACATATTTTAGTTGCCACATAAATTTTAAGTGTGAAAAAACCTGCTTAAAAATTTATCGTAAACTTTCAGTAGTGATAATCGAAAGTTATATTTGCACAACCTTTCTACACTTTCTTTTTAAATTATGAAATTCAGACTATCTTCCACGCTAAGAATAGTGTTTATATGTGAGAACGGAAGCTATAGGATTGGACGTGTGTCACATTTCCAACATTTTAGGACCAATAGTTAAATTCCATGTTAATATCAAACATCGATAGTAAGAAATCGCCCCAACCTTTTTTTTTTTTTTTCCAAATTTTAAGTTTGGTCAAAATTAGATCGAACTAATCTTTTTTTAATAAAAAAATTTTTAATGCGTAAAGTCCAGCTAAGATCCTATTAATTTAGAAACAGGCCTGGGAGCTCCGCAATTTTTTTTGAAAGGTCAATTTCTCTCATCATCTTCCGTTTTTTTCTTCTCTAAAATTTGATGATGAGAGTTATGAATGATATTTTTTTTTCTTTATTATTTTTAGGTTTTTGTCTTTTAGTTTTCTAAAATCATTTCCTTTTCTTTTCATACAAAGTTTTTGCTTATTTAAAATAAGAACTAACTATTAGCGATACCTTTTAACAATTGTTTGTTTGTGTGTGTGTGTGTGTGTGTGTATATATATATATATATATATATATATTGTAGTATTGTTGGGATGAAATGTTGAAAAAGCAGAAAAAGAGAAATAAGAAAATAATCTAATTGCTACAACAGCCAATGTTTAAAAAATGGACATTTTCATCGTTATTTCTGCATAAATGGTTGTGCTTTGACAATATAAATATTAAAAGAGATAATCATAAAATTATTTTGGTACTCTGTATTTTTAATAATATTAAAATAACACATTTACTTTAAAAGAATTGTTTTTTTGATAATTTGAGACTAATTTTTAGGACATACAATGTCCAAACTGCCCTTTTCGTTAATGAAATAGAAACTAATAATTTTAAAAGTATTTTCTAAAAATAGTTTAATCTATTTTGATTTATTTTTTTAATTTTTAAATGTTTTAAATTATTTTCTTAATTTTTTTCAAAAAATTATTTACTTGTTGTTAACTAGTGAGAAGGATATAATGGACATTTTATGTATCAAAATTTGTGTCAATGTATCTAAAGAATATTTATTTAAAAGTGAATGTACCGTTTTAATATTATTAAAAGCACAGGATACCAACGAGATGTTTTATTATATAACAGAGGATACTAAAATAATTTTATTCCATATTAAAAAAGGGGTTCAATAGCTTTTCGTGAATATTTGGGAATTTTTTTGTGAAAATTTTCGTAAATACTAATTTTTTTTGAGAATTTTCCTAGTGTTCTCTATTTTTTTTAGAAATATTGGTATTCTTTACTTATTAGTTGTCGGATATGTATTACTCTTTCAATTTGATTTGACTTTTAACTATATTTAATACATATTTGACGACTGATAAACAGAGAACATCAGTGTTCTCAAAAAAGAGAAAACACAAGAAAAAGTCTAATTTTTTTTTATTGAAATATCAATTTCCGTTAAAGCTTAAAAATAAAAGAATTTGGTGGCAATTTAAGAAAAGTTTCATAAGATTTTTCGTAAAATATCAATCATATTTCAGTAAAATTTCGATATTATGTATATTTTTATTTTGAATTTTACTTTTGCATGTGGTCAAGTTCATGTATATATATTTATATTTTCTAGAATTATACATATATATATTTATGTATATTGTGTTGGAGTCAATTTGATATTCTTTCAAAGTTAATTTACTTGATATAACAAGACAAATAGTCATTCTTGATTCCAAAATCATATAAGCAAGTTGTCAAGTACCACGAAAAGTATCCACACGTTGATGCCAATATGTTTTAAACCAAGAAAGTATTCCCAATACTTTTGAACTTCTTTTCGCTATTGATATAAGCAGTGGTGGAGCGCTGCCCTCCATCCAAGTGGCTACTTTTAATTTGCTCCCCTTGAAATATCTAATTTGTAATATTATATTAATATTCTTAGAATACGTTTAGTTCGTTGATTCGAGTTAAGATGTGACTTTATGTGAGAATTTTTTACTGTAATAAAAAAATTAGATGTGACTTTTTTTGAGAGCTTTTTACTGTAGCAAAACTCGAATCGGTGAAATAAACAGAGTTAGTAAAATTTCAATCATACCCTAAAATTTAATTTTTGAAGTTTAAGATACTTGTATTTTTAATTGAAATAAAATCATTTTGATACCCCGTGATATAGTGAAACATGCTCCTAATACTTGGTGTTTTTTTTATAATATTAAATAGGTACCTTCAAGTTTTAAGAAACATATTTTTAGTACCATGAGGTTAGTTTTTAAAACATGTATAAATTTCCCTTTAACATAAAAATAGTTCAAAACGTTCAAAAGATAAAAATAAAAACTTATAATAAAAAATTAAAGAAAATAAAAAACAATAATCTAATCAAACTTCAATCCAAATCAGGAAAATAAAATATACAGATCAAAACAATCGAAATCAAACCCAAATCAATAAATGAAAACAATTGAAATCAAAGCCAGAATCAACTAAAATATTATATAAATCCATAATTTTGTGAACCGTAAACTTCAAAAAGTGAATTAAACTCAATTAAAATAATGGTATTGTTATTTTAGTTAAAATTTCTGTTCACTTCATGTCTCTCTTAAAAAAATTTCTAGTTCCGCCGCTGAACATAAGTATACTTTTTCATCTTATCCTATATGACCTAAGCATATAAGGTACCTGATTAGGTTAAACTTCAATATATTTTTGTTTTTTCAATTAGCTAGTTTACTTAACTTGAAATTGCGTTCGCTAATAATTTACCATACTCTAAGTCTTCTTATCGTACATATTTATCATATCCTAGTATTTTAATTGTCAAAGTTACCTAACTTTTGTACTATACTAATTATTTTAGAGTTTTTAAAAGCTTCAATTAAAATTTAATAAGTTAAGATGAATTTCTATGTTTACATATTTTTCCACCAAAAATATTTCTGCCGATATTTTGGTAAATTCGATATCGATAATTCCATCGTTAATGTCTAAATGAAAATTTTATATACAAGAAAATGGAATCACACAAACCTTGAGAAACATGTCCAGAGGTACGTCGAAAACAGCATCAACTTCGTCAATGTTGAGTGCAGGTTTGAAATCCTCTGCTCGATCTAGAAGACCTATGACAGGGATAACCTTAAGTAGATGCTGCACAAAATTACCGCACAAAATTCAATTAGCACATCTCTTTAATAACCATATATTCATCAATTATTCATCGGAATATATATAACCAAAAAAAAAAATAAAAAAAAATAACTAAAACCTGCATGGATATAAAGGGCTCTAAATTTGCAACAACTTGAACTAGACTTGAATCCAAGCCAATTTCTTCCATAGCTTCTCTTAAAGCAGTTGCTGAATAATCTACATCTCCCTCCTCCATTTTTCCACCAGGCAATGCTACATCTCCTATTTTCCAGAGTAAAAAGAAATAAAAAACCCCTAACGTTATTAGGATTGGATTCATGCACTCAAACCATCATTCCTTTTACTTGAAGAATGTTAATTAAATATCAGTAATAATGATCAGTACTACTGATTTTTCAGCCATATAGAAACTGTCATGTTGTAACTTTGAGTAGGTTCTTGATTTATAAAAAAAAAAATTTACGTAAGAAAACCAATTGATCATACATGGCGTACGTACTTGCGCAGTTTGTTTGCATATTTACTCCATGCCATGACATGTAGATTAATTGGCGTAGGATTTATGAAGTCCCAATAGAAAATGTTAGTCACACACACACACATATATACCTGGATATGACAACAATTTCATGGATCTCTTGGTAAGGATAACTCGCAGCTCGCCTTGAGGACCTTCAAAAAGGCATATTAGGACGGCCGCTTTTCTCTTCCTCCAATCGGCACAAGCCGACAATTGTTCGTTGATCGCATAAATTGGACCTCTGCCAACGTCTTTTTGGTCCTCTCTGTCTAGTTTGGGCGGTTTGTAAAACTGCAGTTGCCTAGCAATTCTTTGTAGAGTTTGGCTTCCACAATCCTGTTTTGGGATGCAAGAAAGGACAACCGGGTCTATGCAAGCCATTTGATAATCTTGCCTAATCTCTTGCTGCTTGTTGTTCAGCTTATATAAGTATACATATATACACGCATAGTTTTATGAGAGAGAGAGAGAGAGAGAGAGAGAGAGAGAGAGAGAGAGAACAATGTGAGCAGGAATCGACTTTAACTAATGCTTAGAGATCAACGGATATTGAAAATTTCATCAAGTTGTGAGTTATATATGGGAGTGATTTGCGACATATATTTCAATACTTCATCGCTTTACTGATAACAATGTACTAAACAGTTGGTAAAAATTTCAACTCAAATTTAGTAACCTCAAGTTGTTCTCAAATCTTTTTGACATGAGCAGTAGCTAAGAATTCTATGCATTTCTAGCTACGTTACTTGGGAGCATAAGGGAATATGATTCCAGAATTTATTGCAGTGGAACTTTAAGCACACGAATGTTAATTACTTGGGCTGGAATATTTTACAAGTTGAGCTATTGCACTATTTATGTTCCCTTTTGCATAAGATTAATTGGTCCATGTATACCCCAACTTGTCTTAACAATAGGATACTGACAATAATCTTATCAAACACACTAGGAACCACATATATACTCTCCCACTAAGGGTGAATTACATATATATATATATATTCGAGAATATTGGGCAGCCCAAGCATACTCACCATGCATATATATAACTGGTCTTAAGCAAACTTAAAATAATCAAGTACAAACAAATGTCTGAAATGCAAAACAAGTGGATGTCCGCCTAAAATCTCATGTGTAGAAAGGTGCACATATTTAGAAAGTTTATGTGAAAAAATAGGAGTTTTAGCCAAAATTATAAAACAACCCTTTAACTAGTCAAAGCTTTTAAAGTACTGAAAATAGTCTCAATAATTACTATTTATAAGACATTATTTTAGCCTTTAATTACGTAAAATTGTTTTGAAAAATTCACTTTAAAACTAAATAAAATCAAGAAAAAAACGAGCCAACATGTTTTGGGTGACAATAAAGCAGGATTTAGTGTAAGACAAGACCGATTTACCTTGTCCAAATCCAACAGTCGTACTCAATGACTAGGGCGTTAGGTCCTGTATAGAGCTAGACCAATCTAGTATGTTAAGTTTTGGATTTTTTTCAACAAAAAAAAAAAAAAAAGGATAGAATTTATTTTATTGAAAATTTTCCCTTTTCTTTTCTCTAAATTAAGTTATTAATATTTAAGATAATCATTAAATATTTACCTTTAAGGATATTTATGTCATTTTCAACAATTTGGCCACTTAAATAAATGGTTTTATTTTACTTCTTTAAAAAAAATGTGGAATATAATTTTGGGATAGATTAAATATATTAAGGTTAATTTTGAATTTTCAAAAACACATGAACAAAACGTATAATTTAATTTTGATTTACCCAAAATTAAAGGGGTACTGTTTTGATTTTCTCCAGCAGAGAAAATTTGATCACCTAGTTACACCGTACAATTTTTATGGTTTTCTTTTCTATGTTCAGATTGTCTAACTTCTGGCTTCTGGGTAAACGTTGGGATGATTAGCATACTAGGTAACAAATTAATTCTGTTCTATCAAAGAGAAATAAAAAATCAATTTTGTTAAAACACCTTCTAACATGTCCTTTACAGAGTAGAAGAAAACAAAGGATTCTCTTGCTGTTTTTTATTTTATTTTATTTTATTTATTTTATTTTTTATTTTAATAGCAAATAAACAGGGATCCTTGTGATCAATCCAACCAAAGGTTTTCAATTTTGGGTTTGCATGGACTGGAATCGTTATGAACCATTCTTATGGGTTTGGGCCAGTCTTCTTTCACTATAGGCTTACTTCAAAGTGATTTTTCTTTTTCTTGGGAAATTACAGGAAAAAACCACTTTCTTACGATTATGATTATAAGTCTCGTGAGTTTTTAATTTGAATTAAGATGTAATTTTATATGATAATTTTTTACTGTAGCATAAAAAATTATATGTGACCTTTTATAAGAACTTTTAACAATAACAAAATTAAAATTAAAAATTCGAACCAATAAAATTAAAGAGACCATAGATTTTTTCAAATCACCAGATTAAACACAGAGCTGGTGTGGTGTGGCGATCGAGAGAGCACAGTTTAATCTCTCTTTGTATTACATATAAAACCATCACAAACCATGTAATTTTCTCAAATAAGATTATTTTGATAAATGTTCATTTTTAAAGAAATTATTGTAAAATATAACGGGAATTTAAAATCGGATTATATATTCAAGATACGCTCTTGACGGCTAATGACGACGACCTTCACGTCATGAACATTGAGTAGCGACTTTGGGAATTAAAGGCCAAGATCAAAGCACATAAGATCAACGGTTGAAATTTATTTACATGTTTTAATCATTTTCTTTGTAATCGATAAACATTTTATTTGCAATTTGTATTTACTATATGAGTACTTTTTTTTGTCCGGATTTTGGCATGAGAATACCTGCTTTATTAAACTCGGGTATTGGGGTATACGTAGTTCCTATATTACCTGTTATATTAAGAGTATATACACAACTTACTGATTCTTTGTCAAGTAAATATATTATTTACTTAATATTTATCCATTTATTTGCTTACTTACTATTTTACCTAATATTCACTTAAGACACGTTCGGTGATCCACAGTTTTTCTATTGTATTCTATAGTTTTTATATTGTAAGGTGTTTAATTCTTGTCGTATAAAATTATTGTTACACTACACCAGTTTGTTTTCTCATCGTACTGTATTACATATTTAAATATTAAGAAGACAAATTCAGGTCTTATTCCCGGCTTAGATTGACTTTGACCTCGACACCCACCCAATATTGAGAGGATGAGAAGAACCGGGGGTGCATTTGCACCCCTAGATTTTTGACATTTCATTTTTAGCATATGGTCTTTTTAAAACTTTTTCATATGTGCCCTTCTATTAACTAGAATTTCAAATATATTTCTACAAAATCCAATCTGTACATGTTTTTTCTTTTTTTTTTTTTTCCTTTTTGGTTTTCTTTTCTTATTGTTCTTTTGATATTTTTCCTATAAAATCTTTTAAATTTAAATGTACCACATTGAATTATTTTTTCTAATTGACTCTCATAAAAATAATTTTCTTTCAAATTCGTCCCTTCTAGAATTTTTTTCCATATACTCTTTATTGTATCAAACGTGAACCTCATAGAAAAAAAATTTAAATGACCAATTAAAATAATATATCTCAAATGTAACCCTAATTTAAGATTGATTTTTTTTTTCAAATAAACTCTCAGTTACTACTTTCACATAAACATATTTTCTCTAATTTCCCCTTGTTGAAGTTATATCATTTTTTCAAGTATGTCCATGCATACTTTAACATCATTTTTTTTTTCTTTTTGACACTCCCAACTACTATTTTCCATGTACGTCAAAAAAAAAATTTTAATCAAAATTAATTACTAAAATCTTTAATATTTGAATATTTTCTACTTGTCTATACCGTAGAAACAATTCATTCAAAAACAAACATATTTTGATTGAAACGTGCATTTTAGTCCATTTTACTTAAATATATTTTTCTTTACTAAACTAAACGCTTAAAAGAGTAATAAATTTGAATAAAAATTAAACTCTTCCAAATTTTAAACTGACGTATCAAAAAGTTCAATAAATAGATCAATATGCACGTGTATAACATATTTCCAACTAGTTAATTATATGTCAAAGAAAAAACAACTAGTTAATAATATTAGAGGTTTATTTTTTTTAGCGCTTTTAACATTTTTAGTTTGTGCCCCCTAAAACAAAACCCAAACTCCAGTACTGTTGAGAGGAGAATGAAGGGATGGGCAGAAGGAGGGAGGGGATTCTTTGCAAAGGCTTTTTTTTTTTTTTTTTGGTTGCAAAATCAGGCAAAAACATTATTTTCTTAAATTTAAGGGTTAATATGTAATTCTCTAACACTAAGAAAGAAAACTTAATTTTTGAAAAGGTTAGGGACCAAAATATAATTTTATTAAAAGTTGAGAGATTTATAATTTTTTTTAAAACGATGGGATAAAGATGTAATTTTAAAAAACTAAGGTATCAAAAATAATTTATAAAAAGTAAAATTTCATTTTGACCCCTCAAATTTTTTTTTTTCTAGAAAATTATAGTTTGACCTTGACCCCGAACTTGGTCCTAAAAGGCAACCTTGAGTTTGGCCTTAAAATTTTACAGTGACGTCGGTCTCAAAACTTGACTTCAACCTTAGGCCTTGTTCACTTCGGGATTTGAGTTTTCAATTTGAGTTGAGATGTGATATTTTCTGAGAACTTTTTATTGTAGTAAAAAATTTTGATGTGACATTTTTTGAGAACTTTTTACAGTAGAAACCTAAATCTGAAAACTCGAATCGTGAAATGAATGAGGCCTTAATATTAAAATGTGACCCTAATAACATGTATTTCAATCTCAAAAGCTGACCTCGACACCAGTTCGAAACTAGACCCTAGACCATGACCCTGGTCCTGAAAGTCAAACTAAAATCACGGTCCTTGATCCCAACCCTGTCCTGGTCTTGACTTGGATATTTTTGAGAACCTTTATGTCTTTAAATATGACTCTTTTTTTTTTTTTTTTTTTTTCCTTTTGGGGTGTGTGTGTGTGTAAAATTATACAATATGTCCAATACATGTTTTTTTATTTTTTTTTATTTTTTCCGTATTAGATATTAAACTACATATTGCACTAAATTTAAATTTCGTATTAAATTATATAATGTATAAATATGACTAAATATCGTGTTATTTTTAAATATTTAAACATAAAGTGCTAGCATGATGCACCAGAAGTCCTCAATAATTCATTTTCCAATTCTAATACGTAATAAAACAAGCTTGCTTCATTGTTCTATTTCAAAGATGCAGGAGGAAAGACTAATTTAAAACGTCTTTATTCATTTTCCTTTTACTAACGAATAGCAAATGCGAAAGGTCGAAATAGAAGTTATAAATAATTGATTGTAACCCATGCAAGCTATCTATGATCACAATTTTTAAAAATCTACATGTAGTCTTAACTCGTATACTCTGCGAATAGAATATAAGAAAATAAGCTAAAAATGATAAGAGAGAAGATCAGTGTTAGGGATAAAATCAGTACTAAAATCACAGCTGTACATGTAGACAACATTTAGAGTAACAAGTCAACTAAAATTGACTGGCTATGGATAAATCAAGAAAGAAAGTTCCTTAGAGGCCACGGAATCCAATACAATCAAATATGATATTAAAGGCACAAATCAAATCAATATTGAAGAGGAAAGCAACCACAAACCAAATCAGGAAATAAGAAATGGAAAGGTCAACTGAAGGAAGAGGAAACTATGCATTCTCCAATCGACAGCATGTTAGCTCAAGGAAAAAGGAAACTAGTGATCGTCTCCTATAAATGGGGGATTAAGATCACGAATTAGACATCTCATTCGGATCTCATTCATCAAATAACGACTCATGTCTTGTATCCATTCCCTCCCTCTCTAGATTCTCTCTCTAAATCCCCTCATCTACTCTCTCCCTTTCTTATTTCTCATTGTAATTGTACTCTTTACAAGATATAGTGAAACCCCGAGACTCTATAATAGACATAGCCTTCATATTGAAAGTGAACCACTCTAAATCTGCGTGTTCATTGATTTTTCCGCACGTTATGTTCTTGTAAAGTATTCTATCGACTTGAATGACTCCAATCAGCTCACCAATGCGATTGATACTCAGAAGCAGTCATTCACCGTCTAAACAAATTTAATTGTAATAAGCAACAAATCATGGTTTAGTCAATCATGTTTCCAATATGTTGAGTTTACTTCCTGAGAATAGCTAAATAAATGAAAAAGGTTTTTTTACATTGTCGCTGCCCAAACTTTTCTACTTTTGTTATTTTGCCCCATAATTAATTTCTAATTTTGACAAATTCCCATAAACTTTCTAAACTATTCCAATGTCCCTTATTTATTGACTTCCCATTATATTGAACATTTGAATTTGAAAAATTTGCATTACGATTTGAATTATATTTTGGATTTTTTTAGCGGACATGAGATCCATTTTAGCATGAGGGGCACGTGGAATTTCTATTTTCAATTTATGGGGAAGCTAATCAAAATGGGAAATTACAATTATTTAGAAATTTTATAGGGTTAATTGTTAAAACTAGAAGTTTGGGGTCATATTTAAGAAAATCTAAAAAGTTGGGGGCAACAATGCACAAAACTCTAAGGAAGCATGTTTTACGTTTACCAAATTGACTTGGTCGTATGAAAGTTATAAAGTCATTTCTTTCCATTATTAGAATGTAAAAGACAACAGGATGATCAAGTTCTGTCCATGCCTAAAAACATTAAAATCAAATTCTTTAATATTTTTTGTATACCTAATAAGAATTTAGTGGCATAATTCGTGGTATCTATTTTGCAGATAATATATATGTCACTGCTTAAACCCCATTTGAAGTCTTTAAAAAAAAAAAAAATCTGAACCATTTCAAGTCGTTTTCTCTTGATTTATTTCCCTAAAACAAAAGTAGTTTGAAAGCATTAGAGACTCAAGCTACATACAGAACGCAACATAAAGATATACATGCGCATTCGGAACAACCAAAGATGTCCCAGAATTTGCTATATTTTAGTTAGATCGGGCTAATAAACTAGGCCACGTGCGGAAATCATCTGGATATATTACACAGGAGCTGTTAATAATTGATATTAGTGATGAAGCGAGTTTTTTTAATTATTTTTTATTATTTTTTTAGTGGAGACAGTATTAAAAATTATAGATATTTTTATCGAAATGAAAACATAATTATCAATTTTATTTATTAAATGTGGGTGTAGTTATCTATTTTTCCTTTAAATAGGGGCACAATCAACATTTTTGAGAAAATTTCAGAGAGAATTAGAATTACAAAATTTGGATAGAGGCACATGCCACTGCTAATTGATATATTAATCAGTTATATTTGTACACAAGTATACTTCTAAAAAAAGTGTTTATTAAGCATTCCTTCATTATTTTTTTTCTAATTAAGTACTTCCATTCAATAGCTGTATCCTTATTTTTAATTTTATTTTGCTCAATTTATTTACCAATTCAACGCCGAGCCCTAACTACAATGAATCAAGATTTTCTGAATAAGGAGAATTATGAATCCCAAAAGCTTGATCCTTGTATCAATTGAGTTCTTGGGGCCTTAAAATCCTATCCAAATATTGTTTTGTCCTTTTTTTTTTTTTTTTTTTAGTTCAACAATCTTTTTTGTTTTAGTCGAATTCTGGATGCCTTAAAATGCTATCCAAGTACCAATTACTCCAATTTCTTCACTTCAATATTTTTTATCTACCTAAATTAACTCAACCAGAGCCAAATATTATAAGACAAGAAATGGTTTTCCACATTAATTAATTAATCTCATCTGAAGATCTATAGCCGTCAACATTTGACATGGCAAACAACATTGGCCAAACATAAAGTATCAATCTTCGTATAGTTTTCTTCCATCTGATAAATCAAAAAGCAACTTATAACTTGATTCGTCGAACAATACCTAGATTATGTTCACGTGGTGGATGCAATACTATAGGTATAACGAGGAATAAATAACAAGTACATAATCAGCTCATCTTAGCTAGGTTTTTTCTTGAAAATTAAGAAAGCTTGACTAAGAATTTTAGCGTGAAGGGTTTTACATATATGTCCCTCCCAATATTCTCTTCTCTTATTGCGTCCCAAACAGACTTTTCTATTAATCTTAATTTGTATTTAGAATGTTGATCTTGCCAATTTTAAACGCGAAGTTTCATGAGCTTTTTTGCAAACTAACTTCAAATATTTACATGCTTATAAGAGTAATTATTTATCTGCTAATAACAAGGTAAAGACCCGAGTGCAAATTTTTTTTTTTCCCCCAACAATGGGAAAAAAATTTGTAAGGGCAAAGAATTACATATTGAATTTACATTTTAGATTTGCCAAATCATATAATTATTTGTTCACCAATACTTCAAGTTTGCAGATAGGCAGATATATTGTGCTAATAGAATAACACAGGAGAAATGAGTAAGAAATAGAACAAAGAACGAGCTGGTCGATATTGATATGATTGTGTTCGTACAAAAGAGAACGTACAAAAACCTTTTTTTTTTTTTTTTTTTTGGAACAAGTACCTCAAGATCTCACTTAGAATTAGCCTAATTCATATAGTCAGATCCAGAGTACTTGTTCTCTTTCCGTTCATCTCCTTGCAACTACTATCAGCAGCTTGTTCCTTCAACCTTCTAATTGGCTTTGAGGAGGGATTCGATGACAATGACAGAGACAAACTACTATCAACTTCGTCCTCTCCAAAAGCACTTCTTTCCTTCTTTTTATGATCCATAACATTATTTCTTGAAGTTAGCCTAAGAGACAGCTCTAGATCAAGGTTTTCGCCGCAATCTGAAGCCTTCCTCTTCAAATTCTTGCTTTGTTCTTGTATAGTAGTTACCGAATCGGATTCTCTAGGAGCATTATTAACAGCTTGCAAATGTTTTACAGCATTGAGATCATTTGGGATACTTAATCGGGTTTGAGGGCGGGGAGATTGGTGATCATTCTTCTGTTTATTATGAGTTTTCCAAGCTGAGTTCTCGGTGATCAAAGAGGAAATAGTATTATTCCTTGTGGGAAAGCTGCAAGGAATTGTACTACTCCAGTTGCTAGTTGTAGTGCTACCAAAGATTGTGGTGCCATAAAATCCATCTGATCTGGGATATTGTCTCAAGTTTCCATAAGAACTCCAAGAAGGGTCGTCGAATCCATATCTAATTAGGACATGACAAGTTGATCGATTAATTGGTGGGGATTTTTTTTTTTTGATGCAAATGAATGAATGAAGTTATATACAAGCAGAATTTACAGTAGTTATATTGTGTGAATTGTTACCTGAAGCTGGAATTATGTCTTTGATTGTATCCTTGAAGCATAGGAAGTTGACTGAGGTTGTAAATATTTCTGTCTCCATATTCCACAAGATGCCTATGATCGGCTAGTACTGTCAACAAACGCCACACACAAAATTGAACAGAACAATTAGGGGAAAGTTGATTGAAAATCCTGATTTTGTGGTGATTATAAAAGAAAATTAAGCTAGCAGGAAACTAATATATACGATGTACCTTGGCCGGCGTCATCAATCTTCTTGCTTCTATACATCTAATATTTGATAAAGATGAAAAAAATTAAAGAAAAGTTAAAGAGGAATTAGTTAACGTCCATTAGAAAAGAAATACTGAATTAGGTCAATGGAGAAATTAAGAAGAAAACTAATGTAGAATAATTAACTCTATTACTTAACTTATAACTCTATTAAGATTTACTTGAAAGATAATACTTAGAAATTCTTAGCTGGTAAACACCAACCTGCAAATGGCTCTTGACATGGGCAATACTCAATCCCTTGATGTTCATCAGCTGAAGAACCAATTTTGGGGTTGCTCCTATAATATCCCAAATCAACCTTAATACTAATTTTATAGAAATTGTAAACATATTTTAAGAATATTAATTTTCAGCCAATTATAAAAAATGTTCTTTTACATGAGATGAGAATATGCTTGAATTGAAAGAATAGCTAAAAAATAATACACATAAAGGACTTACTCTCTTGTCCACCGAGCCTCTCCACAGCATGAACAAAACGGAGATGAAGATCGGGCATCCACCGGAGCCTTGGCGCCTTGGATCTAACATAAGGCCGTACTGACGATTTCTTCTCACTACTCTCCTCCACCGTGCTGTTGCTCGAGCTTAATCCTCCATTGTTCTTGTTAGGCTTACTAATTTGATCGTCATCATTCTCTCCGCTCTCACTTTCGCCGTTGTTTTGGTTTGAGAGGGTTGTTTTTGAGCATTCAGAATTACTTATACTACCCTTCATCTTAGTTTCTTGCAAATAAACTTTTTTCTCCCGTCCTTAACTCACACAAGGAGACAGGCTGACAGTATTATTTGATGGTAATTTTGTTTGCTTAGTACTGACAAGCCATAATTTGGAATTAGAGCTTTCTGGCCGGTGGCTCTGAAATCATGGCCTCTATCACCTGCCTTACTCTCTATCTTTGTCATGCCAGTAGTACAGAAAGAAAACTCTATATTACAAAAAAAGAGACCTCGAAATCCATTAACTAAGGAAAGACAATGGGTGGATGAGATTGAACAGTTTGTATAATAGGAGAAAATGGAAAACCCTAGATCTTGAGAGACAAGATATAGAAGACCTTTCTCTCTCTCTCTCTCTTTCTATCTGTTATTGTCTGGATAGGCGCCAGTGATATATTTTATTTCAATATTTGTATATATTTATAGTATTATGTTTACCTTTCATCATGCACGGTATATGTGCCATGACATGCATGCACATGCATACATGCATGCATGCACATGCATACATGCATGGCAAGCTAGCTAGAAATATAGAAATTAAGGAATATACTCCTTTTCTCAAATTCTTTAAAACAAAAGATTTTATACACACATACTTGGCTCATGCACGTGATCCGATCGATATTTTTACTTTTCCAAGTTGAGAACAATTGAAAGAACAATATTTTGTCTTGTAGAGAAAAGAGTATCTTCCGCTCTCACCAGTTAAAGTAATTACAACGTTACAATTATAATTCCATGAGTTTAATTAATCAAATTCAGAGCATAAATATTGTATACTAATGTGAATGAGACTTTAAGCATATTAAAATTCAGAGTATAGCATTAATCAGACAAATAGCAAGGTGTACTATTTCCAAGAGTAAGACCAAAGACATTTTTATTGTTTAGTAGCGTCTCTTTTTGTCGGAACTAAATTTGAACAAACTTTCAAGTGGACTTTGTTTTTTCCCTCCTCATATTGTCTGTTGCTTAGTGAAATGACTACTTGGAATTCCCCCGCCTTGTATTCTTGTTACTAAGAAGACATATTTACCTACACCAGTTGTAGACTTTCGATATAGAAACAAAAACAAAAAATTAACAAGCTAGCTGATGAGGTAACTATATTAAAAAGTAATTTGAAGTGTATTGCCAACCCTCAATTGTGAACTTCATCTAACTCTTTATTTAAGCATATTCATCTAACCCCTCCCCCTTTAATAATTTTGGAAATGTATACTTATTAGACAATAAATTTCTCTCTCCTTTTTATTTTACTAATAAAGAATGATGAATGTGGCAACGTACGTGTATATCCTAAAATATATTGTAATTATTAATTTGATTTCCGACCACTTTTAACAAGACAGGTATGCTTGTAGAATATATATTAGGGATAAAATTAATGCAAATAATGAATGTCTATCTAAAACAGAATTAAGAAAAATAATTGTGGGGTTTCGGATTATTACTTCAGAAAGAGAATCAATAGATAATAACTCTGCTGCAGGTTGGTCGATGCATGTGTTTTTCAAGCTGTTGCTGATGCAGACCCAAGCTCATCAAGGGATAATATGACACATAGAAATATATACTTTTCATGGGGAATATCACGGGGATTGTTCCTGATCTTCTTGAGATTTGAGGCTTTGTTCCTCTCAGTTCATGGCCTCCTTTGGGATGAATGTTTCCACGCTGTTTTTCCTGCAGGAATATCAATTATATAAAGAGTATTTATGCAGTATACGTGAGCCAATTCATTTTAAATCTTATCAAAATTTATCTAATCAGTGTGTATTAGTTTGAATATTTCTTATATTCTTATAAGGTGTTGAGGGTTAAATATTTGAGAGTTTTCCTTAAATTAAATTTCCTTAAATTAAATTTGTTTACTTTGTAAGCACAATTCTTCTTTTTTCTTTAAAAAAATTTTAGCTCATCGAAAAAAAATAAAAATATATATATATATAAGGTGCTTTTAGTTATACTTTGGGGAGCATTATGCATTTGTTTTGTGTATACCGAATGAACTCTATAACAGAACATTTCCTTTACCCTGCGACAAGTATGTATAGCCATGACTTCTTAGTCACAACAAATATATTTAGGATACAATATATTGGAGTTGAATCATGTTAGGAACCTATTGGTAGAATTAACCCCTGCAAAACCGGCTTATCCAATGGCTTATAAAGCCATTAATTATCTTATATTTATGATATCTATGGCAGTCCATTTTCTCAACTAGGTGACTTTACGGATCCCACATTCTATCGGGTAGCAGTCCTCCCTGGATTACACCATTCGTTGTGACAGCCATAGAAACGTAGCTCATACTACGTAGCTTACTGCACACTTGACATAGTTAGAGGAGCTCATTCAATCCAATACAACCTTTTTGATAATATAACACCCAATTAAATTGAAAGTCGGTTTTTAAAAATTCTATCCAATTCAATCCAATTACTAGTGCATCATCCAATGCAATACAATCCGATTATAGATGATTTGTAACGGATTGTACCAATCGGTTTTCTTCTTGAACTTTTTGTACATTTTTTTTTTTATTTTTATTTTCGTGTTCCACCCAATTTGTTAGATCTTCTAGATAAAATTTAAATACTACATTAAAAAAATGAAGCAAGAATTTACATCCAAAAATCTAGAAAAGCGTATAAACTCCAAATTAATTAAACATCCAACAAACAACTTAAAAAATAAAAATAAAGGTACAATCTGATAAACATAAAAAGTTCAACGAAAAGAAATAATGAATAACCTATAAAGAAAGAGACTGCGAAAAAAATAAATTTTAAATTTTGGACCAATATTATAAATATATATTTTTAATATAGGGAGGTTGGATTAGTTTTGATTGAGTGTTTTGAAAGTAAAATTAAGATCGAATCCAATCTGAGTCAGTTTTTAAGAATTCACATCCAATCCAATCAAATTGAGATCGGCTATCCGTTAAAAATGGATTAGATCAGACCGGTCTGGTCAGTTAATTGGATTGGATAAACACCCTTAGACATGGTGATTTGTAAAATCAACTATATATGGGCCTAAATCTATGACAATCCACATTGTGAACATTAATCCAAGGGCAATCCTTTCCTCTTGGATGCAATTGCTTTAACTTAAACTTACATAGTGATCACTGGATCTGATATTTATTGTTATAAACCTAGTAGGTAGAACTCAACCTTAAAAACCAACCTTAAAGGGGGAGTCAAGGGCTTATAAACCCACTAATTATCATCTTATACTTAGTCTATGTGGGACTTTTAATATTTAACTAACCACAATTCACTAATTGCGCTATATAAACTGTGTAGGTAAAGCATGCTAGTAAATAATCAACACACATCATACTTTTGCAATTAACTTGATTTTTTTTAACGAAGAATTAACTTAACTTATTTACGAATAGTAGCTGCTAAAACAATGTTAATTTTGGCTAAAAATTTATTAGCCACGTGAATACTGTCCTCGTTCGTTTCGCTGATTCGAGTTTAGAATTTGAGTTGAGATGTGATTTTATGTGAGAGCTTTTTACTGTAGCAAAAAAATAAAAAATAAAAAATAAATGTGACTGTTTGTGAGAGCTTTTTACTGTAGCAAAACTCGAATTCTAAACTCGAATCAGCGAAACGAACAAGGCAAATATGTGACTTACTTCTTTCAGATGATTGGAGATCCTTTCCTGCTGTCGTTTGTGACTTTTCATATTTTCTTGGATTCCTGGGATATGTAATAATACTGGTTCTCATGAGGTTGTTGTGGGCTTTTAATATATTTACTAGTGGGTGCTTTAGTTGTTATCATTTAGAGCCATAGCAAGACCACAGCACTCTTCCAGAGTTTTCTTTCAATCTTATCTAACCATTGATAAGATCTAGACCAAATACGAGATGACACGACATCGAAAGTCAACCTGACCGCTTTCTCTCCGAAAGGAATCGGAGATACTTTCTGGCGGACGAGGTCATAGCACCGGGACATCAGACCATATTTATGAAACTTTGATAATTGGTTGCGAGAGAACTTTTTCATTCCTGCCACGTGCATAGCCGTGTGGTACTGGTATGGCACATATAGGTTATGGACGAGCGTGATTATTTAGGTAAAAAAAAAAAAAAAAAAAAAAAACCAAAGCCAAAATGCCCCACGGCACTATTGCTTCTCTTTTTTTTTTTTTTTTTTTGGTCACCACTCACGGGTCTCCTGCGTGCATGTTAATACAAACATGGCTAAACAAAGTATATATATAGAAGAACCTATTCAACTTTTATGGTATGAAGAGAAAAATTCTTGACATTGTAAATTTTATGATAGAATTCACAAGTTTCAAACTTTGAAATTGTCAGAATTATGATAGATTTGTGAACCAGCACAGTGCAATAAGGGCACCATAAAGGACCCTATTTTCATTTGTATGTTACTGATCTATCTTAATTATAGCTAAAAATTTTGTGATAAGAATTTCACTGACAAAAAAGAAAAAGAAAAAGAAAAAGAAATATTACAACAGTTGAACTCTATCAAAGAATAAAAAACCAGAAGGTATGAAGGCAATATATGTTTACACACCTGCGGAGGGCAGCACCACCAATATTATAATTGTCCCATTTGAATACAAAATTATAAAAGATTCACTCCAACACTTAGCCTATGATGGAGGTCAACGGCCAACAGTGCTTTTGTCCCTTTTTCTTCACATTTATGTATATTTTAAGCTGCATGAGAATACGTGAGCCTATTAATGCGGATCTAACCCCATTATTTGAGAATGAGGATGTCTGTCTTCTTCTTACATCGGTCTCTCTGCCCTTACATATACATATATGTATATATATATATATATATATTAATATATGGACACACACATACATACATGCATGTCCTGGCATGGCATATAGTATGGCATGGCATGTTATGAAATGGCGTGTCCAGACACTGCACTGGATCATGAATCACATGCATGGCAGCCATTATTAAATTAAATATGATGGAATATTGATCATAATGACACACTTTGATCAAGTTTCAAAGAAGCTTCACAACTGCTCTGATTCTGATTGGTAGGCGCAAATGGTATTATCATCTATTGTAATTAATCTCCATTCAAATTTAATATAGCGTGGAAATCAGCAGCTTGGAATAAAGTAGATAGACTGATGTTTTCATGAAAAGTCCCTATTGTGCTTTTTCCCCCCTACCACTTTCGCAAGTGACAAATTCCTTAGTTCTCATATAATCTATCGTTCTCAAGCCACTTCCTAACGCACATGAGGAGCAATTACTTAGATTTTATTTGTATATTAGGATTTTGACTATCACGCCCCTTTTAATTTATTTAATAATAGAGCACACATTATTTTCTTCTAATAGTTCAGAATAAGATTATGTTAGGTAGGATGAAAAACACGGAAAAATGCTTCAGGAGTGAAAAAAAGACATCAAGTTATTTAGTAGAAAGAATTAATATTTGAAAAGGGAAGAGAAAATGCCTCAGGGAACAAAGCCCTTCTTTTTTTTTTTTTTTTTTTTTTTTTTTTTTTTTTTTTTTTACTTTTTTAATCTTCTCCTTAGACTAACGATATTAACAGCAATTATAAATTTAAATTACGATAATATGTTCACCAAAAGACTCATAATAAATAATAAACCTATTAAAAGTAGGAAATGCAACTAAATTAGAACATGTATCCATAACAATACAATTAAGTACACACTGAAAAGTGCACTTAAATAGGCATTTGAAAAATTACACTGAAAAAGAATATACGTTACATTTATACATTTATCCTCATGACTCATGATTTGACCTTGTGTCTTACGTTTTTGTACAGTTATCGTCTATTTCAGAAAAGTGCACCCTCATGCCTTCCATTAGTTAATTTTACTAATACATGAAAACGAGTTATGTCATTTGAACATTTACAATGAGAAAAGAATATACAAAACGCAACATATAGTCAATGCCATGGCTATGTCAACAGGCCAGTCTCGTTGGGGATGCTTTACGTGCAAAGATAATTGACATCGCCAACGTGCAAAGATAATTGAGCCAATGGTTGTTTCTTTAATTTTTAAGAGAATTACAATAGAGTTTGTTATACACATACACACAATAGAATTGAGTTATTCAGGATGTAATGTGATAGAGAAAAATTTGTATATAGATTATGTACCTCCTTAGTAGTGTTAGTAACTGAATCGCAAGCAATGTATGAAAAGAAGACAATTGCAGATCCATCAAACATCCCGTTAATTCCACAGGAAAAATACCTAAACACAAGATAAATAAAATGAAACAATAAGTATCTGCTCTAAATTTTATATCCAGTCCATCCAAGTCTGAACTCCCAAATATCCACCGGCTGTTATGATAAAAAGCAGTATTACCAACGTTAACTGTTGTAACAACCATTTGAGACACGAGTTATTCTAATGAATGAAATAAAGTTAATAGAGAGAAAATTAATAGAGAAAATGTTAAACAAATGACAATAAGGATATATAGGCTAGAAACAACTACATTTAAGAAAGAAAAAAAAAAGTACTTCCTTGATCTCAATGCACAAGAAAACAGTGACTATTACACAACTAATAGTGCTGCACATATCAACCACAATACGAAGTCCAGGAATCGTGTGACGAGCCAAGAAAGTAGGTATGTTGTCCTCACCTCCAATAACAAGGCCTGATTTTGTTTTTGAACAAGTAAAAGAATTTTTTTTAGAAAGGAGAGATATTATAGATAAAGAGAACAAACTGGGGAGAAGGAAAAATAACAAGGCAAACCAAATTCCAATTACACAAAGCTCAACTATACCAGATTGGGAGTTATGTCACGGGTAGAAAAACACCACCAATAGTATACTTTAGTATTAGAGCCCAACTAACCTGCCAAGCAAAAGCACAAGAACGAACCGATAAGTACCATCATAATTCATATATGGTTGGCCATACACTCGATTTCTTTTCTTTCCAATTGAAAAGCCTAAGAAATTAAATAACAATAACAAAATGTTTTCTTTATACAAAATTCTGATTGAGGGAATTTCCGGAACTACAGAATCTAGCAAATCCCATATTTGCCGCTTACACATTCGGACATTCCTAAAGGCAACAGAAAATGGAAGATGAAAAGTACAAATATGCTTGAGACTCTTGTTCTCATAGATAGGCATAGCTACCAATAAGAACGAAAAGAAGAGCAGAAAAGCAGAGAAAGATAGAACAGTTGTAGATTGGTAACTAAATATACACTTTCTCAAATTAGCATGCTACCATATTTTAGTGGTTCAATTCTGGTGGTAACAAGCAAAAGATCCAGTCATACATGACACACAACCCTATTGGCGGAATACCAATTCGCAAGAATGAGTACCCAGTAGTCGATTGATAATCGATGGGACTCGGATAGCACATGTAATTAGAGCTAATGTCTTTTTCCTTGGAGTTCACGAGCCATGTCATCACCATGGAATTCTCAGCGTCTCATGTAGCATAGTCCGGATCATCCTATGCAGGAGCCTTCTTGTCACCCGTCAGGTAGCCCATCTTTCCACGTCCTCTGATGCACATCCGCACCGATTGAGACCATCTCAGAAAATTGTCACCATTCAATCGAATCGTGGTGATTTGGACATAATGGGATTCCGAGGTGGTTGTAATGTTTTTTGTGGAATCAATGGTGGTGGGATTGTTTGAAGACGATTGAGGAACAGTGGGGGATTCATTTGAAATGTCAGACATGGTGATAGAGAAAAAAAAACAGAGGATCGAATGAAAGGAAGAAGAAGACTAATTTCCGCAAGCAATCCGCCTCCGCTCTGATACCAACTTGAAAAGTGAGTTTTTCAGGGAATGATTCTTTCTTTCATTGATCACCTATTTAAATGATTTACAAAGCATGTACACACCCTTCGAAACAGGAAAGCAATCACTGATTTAAGGAATATAGCTAATTCTAGAGAAGGAAATAACTTCTGACATATACTTTCCTAAAATACAAAGATTGACAGCTAATTAGCTAATTTACAGCTTTACACAAATTGTTTCCAAAAACAGTTCCGATTTTCCAACACAATAATTTAAACCAACTATCTGTATTTCTAATTGAGAGTGAATCTTCAGAGCATACGGGTTCCAACGGTGGTCATGGGCCCTCAAAATCCTTTGATATCGAAATTGGTTTTCTTATTAATTAATTGCAGGATAACACGACTACACCAGACTTTCTTATGCAATCCAAGAAAATAAAAGGCCCCGTTCATTTCGCTGATTCGAGTTTAGAATTCGAGTTTTGCTACAGTAAAAAGCTCTCAGAAACAGTCACATCTAACTTTTTTGTTATAGTAAAAAGCTCCCACATAACATCACATCTCAACTCGAATTAGCGAACTGAACGGATCCAAAGATATTAATTGTCAAGAAAGCCATGCATCCAAATAGCATTTCTCACCTGGCGAAGATTCTTTATTTTAGAGTCCTACCAACATCCTTTTCACTTTGACAAAGACTCAAAATATTAGATCAATGTTTCACACCGAAAATAACAACCTGCACAACAAGCATTTAAATCAAAATTCAGTAAAGCTAAGGTGTTCTTCGGATTTCCCTCGTTTTATCTCTAATCATAAACATTAAGAAAGAACAATGGCTATGAATGAAAACCCACCTAAAACTTGTTTCGAATAAAGGTCCCTCCTTTTTCCACACACCCAAATAGCTCGCAAATCTAAAGAGGTAAAAAATGAAAAGGAAGAGAAAAGGTGGAAAAAGGAAATATGATTAGTGTAAAGATGGCAGAAAATGCAAAATTAAGTCTTGTAATCCAGAAAACAAAAAGAGAAAAGGAAAATATAATAAGGATAGCGCTTCTGAAATGGTGCTCTCTTTAAATAAGAAAATGGGATTAAGGAACTTGGGTTGTGTCTTCTTCCTCATTATCATCTGTGAAAACCTCGTAATCAGAGGTCTCAAAATCACAGGAATCGACATCATCACCAACGACGACAGCAATATTGAGGCTTTCCGGCACAGCCTGCAAGTAGCGATCGAGCCCATGGAAATGGAGAGGAAAAATTGGGATTTGCTCACAAAGCGTTTACCATCTCCCTCTTCTCACACGCTTTGTGATAGGTACCTGCCCTGCCTTAATCAAGATAATGAAAATTAACAATAGGAATTTGAATGAAAATACCCAGAAAGATGGGTTCTGGTTCCTTTTATTGATGAACACTCCTCTATTCCACAGTTACAGAGAAGTTCGACAGAAACAAACACCAAAAGGAAAAGAAAGATAGAATTGAGAGAATTCGAGGTCTCTCCCCCTCCCAAACCAACGCTAACTTTTTCACAAGATTTGATGCCCTCCCTAGCGCACCTCCCCTCCCCTATATTTCCTCTCTAACAAACTCCTCTAACGGAATTGCCAACTCAGCAGCGTCACTAGTCCTGATCACGTCACTCGTCTTTCCCTTTTTACCCCTTCTAGTATAGGTAAATCTCAAAGGAGGCCTGGGCAGGGTTCTATAGAGCCACCTTGTCCTCAAGGTGGAAGTGGGGAAACTGTTGTTGGAGCACATCCAGGGGTTCCCAAGTCGCCTCCCAGCTAGCCCATGCCAAACCACCAACCCTTCCACCCGATCTTGGTTGCCGCAAGGAAATACACGCGTATTAAGGATTTCAGCAGGCTCAACCACGAGTTCCAACTCCTCAATTAACCGCACCGGCAATGACTGGTTCTTATACTCCTGGCCCTTGAATGCCTTCAATTGCGAAACATGGAAAACATGGGGGATGCAAGCCATAGGAGGTAATTGTAGACGATAAGCCACAGCCCCTACACGCTCGAGGACAGGAAAGGGTCCGTAGAAGCGAGGTGAGAGCTTCTCATTAACCTTGCGCGCCAAGGACTTGATACGGTATGGACGGAGATTGAGCAAAACCAAGTCGCCTGGTGAAAAAGTGACCTCGTGACGGTGAGCGTCTGCGAACTTTTTCATTCGGTGTTGTGCTACCGGCAGTCAAGCATCTGGTTTTGAAGCTGCATCTGTAGATTGACATCTTCTACCAACGAAGGCGTGTGGTCAGACTCCAACACAGGATCCTTAGGCGGGCCAGCCAGCACATCCTGGAAGCGGAGCAAGGAAGTTGGAGGACGACCATAAACGGCCTGAAAAGGCGTGAACTTAGTAGAGGCATTGTAATTAGTGTTGAACCAATACTCTACCCAAGGCAGGAATTGAACCCACAACCTAGGTTTCTCGCCGGCAAAGTAGCGTAAATAGGTCTCTAAGCAGCGATTGATGACCTCGGTTTGTCCATCGGATTCCGGGTGATAGGCAGAGCTATGATGCAACTTCGTGCCATATTGCTTAAAGAGTTCCCGCCAAAACAAGCTCATGAAAACAGAATCGCGATCATTGACAATCATACGAGGGATCCCATGCAAGCGGACAATCTCACGGATGAAGACTTCCGCAACCTATTTGGCCGTGACAGGGGGGACAATGGGGCAAAAAAAGAGCATATTTGGTCAGCCGATCCACTACCACAAGGATCGTATCAATGTTCTTTACCCGTGGAAGTCCCGTAACGAAGTCCATGGAGATATCTTCCCAAATCTGCTGCAGCCGATCCAACAAACCTACCGGAGAAAGAGCTTCATACTTGGAGCGTTGGCAAGTCACACAATGGGAGACATGGCCCGGAATCGTTTTCTTCATACCGGACTAAAACACGTTGGAAGATAGCCGTTTGTAAATGCAGAAGAATCCAGAGTGTCCTCCCATGGTGGAATCATGAAACTCATGTAACAAGAACGGAATCCAAGCTGAGTTCAGGGGCAATACAATGCGTTCATGAAAACAGAGAAGGCCATTCCGCAAGCTATACCCTCTAACGTCAGCTTGGCCAACCTACAATTAAGAAATCAGTTGAGCACACACAGCATCTGTCTGCTGCTAACGCTTGATGGCTTCAACGTCCAGTAACTAGTAACTGAGGAATGAATAGGGCCATATAAAGTACAAGTGCCTTCCCGGCGAGATAGAGCATCCGCAACCCGATTGGCAGCCCCCGGTTTGTATTGCACTTCAAAGTCATACCCCATCAATTTAGAAATCCAACGAAGATGTTCAGGAGGGAGTAGGCGTTGGTCTAATAAAAACCGGAGGCTCTGTTGGTATGTGCGTACCACGAAATGACGTCGAAGAAGGTAGTGACGACACTTTTGAACTGCCAAGACCACCCGCCATCAATTCCCGCTCATACACAGACTTCAAACGGGAAGTAGGCGCAAAGCCTTACTAAAATACGCTATAGGTTTTCCCTCTTGCATCAGTACCGCCCCTAGACCCGAGCCTGACGCGTCGATCTCCACCACGAAGGTCTTGGAGAAATCCGGCAAAGCCAAAACCAAAAGAGTGGTCATGGCTAACTTAAAAGCCTCGAAGGCGCGCCTAACTTCAAAGCCTCGAAGGCGCGCGAGGCTTCCTCCGACCAAGTGAACACCCCCTTTTTAAGCAAATCCGTTAAGGGTCGGACCAGAGCTCCATAACCTCTTACGAAGCGACGGTAGTACCCTGTGAGGCCGAGAAACCCACGGACAACACGTTTTTAGGCTCAGGCCAATCCCGGACGGCCTGCAACTTAACTGGGTCGGCCGAGACCCCCTCCTTCGATATTACATTCCTTAAGTACTCAAGCTGGGATTGCCCAAACACACATTTCTTCCGATTCGCGAACAATTTTTCCGCGCGCAAAACCCCCATCACTGTGGCCAAATGAATCTTGTGCTCCTCCCAAGTGCGGCTGTAGACGAGGATATTGTCGAAAAAGACCAACACAAACTTGCGCAAGTAAGGCCGAAACACCAAATTCATCAAGGATTGGAACGTTGCCGATGCATTTGTCAGTCCGAAGGGCATTACTAGAAACTCATAGTGCCCCTCATGTGTGCGGAACGCGGTCTTCTTGATGTCACCTTCGCGAACTCTAATTTGATGGTACCCAGCCCGTAAATCTAGCTTCGAGAACACTACTGCCCCGTCCAATTCATCTAATAATTCATTGATTATTGGGATTGGGAACTTGTCGGGTACCGTGAGTTGATTGAAGGCCCGATAATCTACACAAAACCTCCAACTTCCATCCCTCTTTTTCACCAAAATCACCGGGCTAGAGAATGGACTAGTACTAGGCCTAATTATTCCTGAAGCCAGCATTTCCGCTACTAATCGCTCAATCTCCTCCTTTTGGACATACGGGTGGCGGTACGGCCGAATACTCGGTGATGTGGCGCCTTCCGTCAAAACAATCTGATGATCCGAATCTCAGGGTGGTGGCAGCCCCATTGGGGTCCAAAAGACATCCCCAAACCAGTCTAACACCCCTTGCAATTCCAGTGGAACTGCCGGACCGGCCTACACTATAGTCTTAATTTCGGTCTCATAGAGCTCAATTAGAAATCCCATTTGTGGAAACTTAAACTGCCGGGAAAGGGCATGAAGAACTTCCCCAAGCGTCTGCAACAATGTAACCCCTAGCACCACGTCTGCGCAACCTAGCTCAAAGGGGACACCCTCGGGGCACCCCCGGGCACCCTCGGGGCACCACTAGGGCCCCCAGGGGGAACCCACGGGACACCCCCGGGGCCCCCCCGGGACACCCCTTGCTGCCGGAACTTCATTCCGTTCCCCACCTGGACCCCATAGCAAGCCATATTATCACAGGGTACCCCCAACTCCTTTACCACCTTAGTCGAGAGGAAACTGTGGGAGGCTCCGCTATCAATCAACACCACCACCGCTTGGCGGGACCCCAACTGTCCCATTACCTTCATTGTGTTAGAGGAGGTGAAACTGAGCAAAGAGTTGAGAGAAATCTGCCGCCTCGTCCGAGAAACCTAGCAGGCGGCTCCGCCTCTTCTTCTTTCGTCTCCTCCGACTCTTGACTCATCTCCGGCCACCAAGAGAACCTGCAACTGCCGGTTCTTACAACGGTGTCCTGGCCCAAATTTTTCATCACACCGAAAGCAAAGTCCCTTAGGCCGTCGTGTTTGGATCTCGTCGAAAAGTCGTCAAAATCCCAGTTCTCGGCTGGTTGCCGCCACTTGAGCAATAACAGAGTCCGATTTCGCTCGTCGGAAGGTTCCAAAATCCTTCGAACCACTGGACAGGTCCATGGCAAAGGGATAATTACCCCGTAGCTTCCTAAACTTGTCTTGGGCCTCATTCATGTCTTCCACTTGCTGGGCCAGGTCCATGGCTTCTTGAAGGTTAATGGGCCGGTGTAACTTGACCTCAGCCCGGATATCCTCTCGCAGCCCATTTAGAAACGCTCCCCTGAAGATGGGCTCAGGAACTCCTCTCAACGTCGCTGCCAACGTCTCAAAGGTGTCGCGGTACTCCGCCACCGACCTGCTCTGCTTCAACGACATCAACCTCTCTGTTGGGTCACCCTCTCATTCGCGGCTGAAGCGGTGTAACAAGGCTGCCCGGAATTCCCTCAAGCTGGCAAATGGCTCCTGCGCTTCCGCCCACTGG